CACACCACACACGGCAGGAATATCTGATCAGATTATTTTACGATAATCGGAGCATCCTTAAGATTGTCGGAAGGGGTAAATCGGGGCTAAAATCGGCCTAATTATCCTGCCGTGTGCCAGGCTTAAGTCTATTCTAAGTCTATTTTTGCTGCACTGCTCACGCTCAATTAAGTGAAAGCACACTTTTGATAACAAAATAAATATGATTTCACACAAAAAGTGTCTAAAATGCACATAATTCGCATGTCTAGTGTGTTTTAACAAGAACTGGAGTAGGCCATGTCAGAAAAGAAAATGAAGACTTATACCGTTTTTATTATTCAGTTTGGGTAAAAGTATGGTGTTTTATAAAAAAAAAACATATAGAAAATAAATATTTGTGTGTGCTGTAAAGTGGTTGGAAAAAATGAAATCGGAATCGGCTAGAATCTGTATCGGCAGGTCAAACTCAATGAAAAATCGGAATAGGCCTAGAAAATTGTAATCGATGCATCTCTATAATCTTTCTGATTGTATCAAACACCTTCACATAATCTGATGTTCACCTAGATGTTTTATTGATTTATTTCTACAGTTGCCGTTGTCGATGGGTTCAATAACACATCCCGCAAAAGGGGGGCCTTGGCCAGAACCTAGTGGTATTTGGGGGGCCTTGTCATAATGGAAAAGTTTGGGAACCCCATATGCTACTGTATTTCAATAACATTTCTGCCATATCTTTATAGCAAAGAGTATGCTATTCTGAATTCAGTTTAAACACACTTTGATCGCCTCTACACCTGTCAACTGTGAGGAAATTGTAACAGTATCAAGAAAAAATAAATAGTTGAATAACAATAAATTACTGAATAAGTGAAATCGCCACATTTAAAAGTCTGAATCTGTCTATCTGGGAAACCAGCTGCTTGCAGGATGCAACCAAACAAGTATAGTAGCCTAATCACAGCATCTATGCTTTGGGCTCAAACCAAATTTGTAGCAGTACTTGATTGCTGTGAGGTTATCACTGCTCTGGGATCAGGATGAGGTGATTAGGGCCTGGTGAATTAGCTCGAACTTCACAGGAGCACAATGATGATGACTCATAATCCAGTGCCCCTTGGTGAGGCAAATACCGTAACAGGAGGAACTGGGCTTTGTTATTGCTTTAGTTTGTAGTCTTTTCCTGTAAAACAAAATACCTCCTCCACTCTTCAGGATGACTGGAGTTTAAATCATGGGTCATAAGTAAACAGTCCTCATGACAGGTGGTTTTGAGAGTGGGGTCAAGGACAGCGTTATTCTCAAACAGAACACACATCAGGGAATCTTGCTCCATTCATTTAATGACACTTAAAGTCATAACTAGCTTTTTAAAAAATACAACTAAATTAAAGACAAACATTCAATGATTAGATAATTCTCATTTTTTAAAAATGGGAAAAAAAAGTTAAAGATTATAGAACTGTTGCACCTTTTTATGCATTTTACAGTTTGAACTTTGTAGCAAAAGGTACAAATGGAGATCTAAATAAAGATCTAAATCATTTTAGTCTATATAGAGCACCAGACCACAGTTTAAGCATACAGAGTAGATGCCTTAGATCTTAAGTCCCTGCTATAATGGATACAATCAGACAAATCTCAAGCTATTATAATACCTTTTTTTTTTTTTTTTTTTAAAGAAAGAAACCACACACTCCTATATTGAATTTGATCATCTTCACTTGTGAGAACAGCTGTCAGCTCTGCATGTTCCCCACTATGAAACAAGGACTAAGAAATAAAGGACAGATTCTTCTGCATCTGGAATATGTGCAGCAGAACAGATGAGGACCAACAAGATTCACCCCTGGATTTGGGCATCATTAAAACTAATGGCTGTTAGTTTTACATATGTACATATAAGACCATATGGACAGAAAGGCATCTACATCTGCATTGAATTGACGTCTTATTCTGGCCCCTAGAATGACGTTCTTATTTCAGAGAAATGTAAACAGAGCACTTCAATTCACAATCCGTCTCTGAAATGTATAGCAGAACATAATTTCTATAGGAACCATTTGGCAATGCCTCAGGGCTCTTGTTAGCAGACTCATATGTAAACAGGGGGAAAGCTAAAAGGAAAAAAGTAAGTTTCTTAATCAAAAGCAGGTTGGGCAAATCTGGAGAGGTAGTTTTACTGTGCTTTACTGACATCTAGTGGCTATAGCATTTTATAAATATGAAAATACAGGAGACCACTCACGGAATTTAAAGGGGAAATGCAAGAATATAATGTCATAAGACTTGTGAAAATAATAAATCACATAAAGCAGTGTATCAAAGTCAGGACCCCCAAGTTGCTGACTGAAGCCTCTGCCAAAGCATCTTGAAGTCTTAAAAAAAAAATCTGTATCAGAAGCACATTATTGAAAGCTAAAAAGCTTGCCAACTTCAGACTGACATGCAAAATGCCATTTTTGTTTCAGCCTTCAAAGCTGGCACGTCAACAGCATACCACAGAACTGACTGTTGTTGGCAGCAATTGGGCACAATGTTTAAGACCGTCGAACTTCGGTTAACTGGGATTCTTTATGAGTCAGTTGTTCATTGGAACACTGGAAAAACAAACACTGCTGATCCATACAAAATTTAATATTTGTAGCTATGCAAAGCTTTGGCTGTAATTGCTTATTGTGGTTTGTGTTGTTTTTTTTCTTTAGGAATTATACAGTTTTAATAAGGGGATATAACAAGTCAGATAGACATTGAAAGAAAATCTAATTAGGTACACACTACATTCACTAACTGTCAAAAGTTTGGGGTCAGTAAGATTTTTTAAAAGAAATAAATACTTTTATTCAACACGAATGCATTAAATCGTGAAATCAAAAAGACAGTATATTTGTAATGTTTTAACAAATATATATATAAAAAACATTCTAATGTTTTGAAAATATTTTTATTTCAAATAAATGCTGTTCTTTTGAGGAGTTTTTTTATTCATCAAAATATCCAGGGAAAAATGTATCATGATTTCCACAAAAGCTTAAGCAGCACAACCGTTTCCAATTATGAGAATACATGTTTTTTGAGCACAAATCTGCATGTTAGAATGATTTCTGAAGGATTAACCTATATTAAAATAGATTTTTAAATTAAACATGTATATTAATGTTTGCATTTTTTGATCTTGGTAAGCATAAGAGACTTCTTTAAAACTGACTCCAATGAGACATATTAAACAGAACTAAAAATGTCTCATGCAAATGTCTTGCCAGGCTTGTTGCAAACTGAAAAATAAAAACACAAAAGCTTGTATGGTTTTCAGTTGAGTTTATTATAATTGCTCCCCTCATATCCCAATTTGTGGTTTCTTACAATTATCATTCAACTAGCCATATGAAAAACACTGAACACTATTTCTACTGCTTGTCTGATTAAGCATCTCCTTACAGTCTGCACTGGTAATGACCCACATTTCTGTCTGTAACTCAGTCAAGCTGCTGAATTAAAGAAAAGAACCAAAAATATGAATCTATATATATATATAAAAAAAAAAAAAGCATGTAATTCACTCGCAAGCATGAACACTAATGATTTGCAGATAGAGACAGAGGTATTTTACAGGGATACTTAGGACCAATACTAGAAACAGCAAAATAACTGAACACTGGAAACCTGAGAGACTCGCTGAGATTTATATGCCAACGTGAAATCTTTTCAATACTGTACAGCCATACAATACTTTCCACTTAGTTGAGCTCCCAGGCTACTTTTTATACGAGAGCTAATTAACAATAACAAACAAACTAGTTGAAACAGAACACCCAACAAAGCTTAAAATACCTCTTAAGAAAAAACATTCTGCCCAACCAAAAGTTCTCATATTTGCTGGTCCATTCTAGAGTAAAAAAAAAAAAAAAAATTAATAAAAAAAAAAGATTTCCAAATTCAAACCTAACACCAAGAGGAACCCAAATGCAGATACAATAGCAACGCTCCTTATTTCTACATCAAAAAGGAATTTCAGAGTAAATAAAAATAAAAATGTTTTCTACTACAAAATACTATCTTTTTATGAGCCAAATGCAAAGTGTGCCCTTAAAGTGGAGGAGGGGGGGGAAACGAATAAAGCCTTTATACCAGTAAACAAGCCAGGTGCATGTTAGATGCTATAGAGCGTGAACTGAAAGTGTTGATATTGAAGCCCTTTAGTGCACACACTGTGCCTGTCTGTAAGTACAAAAAATAAGCTAATTTATGCAGCATAGAAATTTGTTGTATAGCAAAGCTACTGTAAACAGAGTTTGTTACAGAGGGCGTTCATTACTGCTGCATCACAGCAGGTTAGCCAGTGCAAAGCTCAAAGGCCCTTCTTCCAAACACCTTCCCTTACTACTAAAAAGATGTAACAAAGGTATTGGGTTATTGCTTTGCTACCAAATTAAGTGTTCAGTATGGAGGGACAAATGCTGTAAACTGAAACTAAAGAAAAGTTCAGGTGGAGTAAAACTAGATTTACTTTAAAAAAAAAAAAAAACTAAAAAAAAAAAAAAAAAAAAAAAAAGGTTTTGCGATTCAGATCAACTACATTATATTTGGTCATTTGGTCTGGATTATATGTCAGTAAAATTTTTTAGTATGTTTTCTGCCTTAGGATCGCTAGTTGCCGGCCACCCCAACAAGTGCCAAGCTGCTAGAGTGACATTCAGACAAATCCTAGCCTACCTGAGACACAGGCTTTGGCACGAATGTAGATGTACCAAATGCCGGCAAACTAGTCAGTGAGATTCATAGAGGTAATCTTCAATGGCTGCTGCCTGATTTGCAACAGTTTAAGGCCTGTCGGCATGAATAAAAAGGTTTCTGCAATAAGAAGAGCTTTAAAAAACTACTCCCATTTTTAATGAATGATAAAAGTGCATCTGTATAATGAAAAAGGAATGAATGAGGGGGAAATAATAAAGAACAAGCGTGCAGGAAACCCTTTGTGATATGAAATATCCTGATTAGACAACACCTCATGAGACGGGTCAAAAGGTCCAGCATCTTTACTGTTTAACAGAAATTATTCTAGGTGGTTTGCGAAGGCTGTGGCTTTGGTGACTTTTAGAACTAAAATGTAATATTTGTGGTACAGAGGCCCTCACTCAACCAGCCCGTCAGCTTCTGTTCATTATGAGCTCATGGGCTTGATGGCAATGGGACACTCATCCCCCATGGCAGCCAACACAGAGACCTACGAGAGGGAAAGAAGTCACAAAAATGAACTCTCAAAATGACAGTAAAACACTAGGACTACTGTTAGAGTCATCATGAAATGGAAATTCACCCTATCCATTTTCATGCATTCATGTAACTCAAATGGTTAAATCAAAATCTCAAGATCTTCTGATGAAACGACAGACTTCTCTCTGGTGAAGTATGCTGGATTTCTACAAACATTTAGTCCGTTTAAACACCACCACTCCACAGTTGACTGCAATCTCGCATTCATTTGAGTGCAAATACCTGTACAACTGAACTAAAACAATGCATTTAGAAAAACAACTGGTCACTCTTTAGTTTAGGGTCCAATTCTCAATATCAACTATGACTTTTACCTCAAACTCCTAATTACTAGTTAGTAAGGTAGTTAAGTTTAGGTATTGGATAGGATGTAGAATATGGTCATGCAGAATAAGGCATTAAAATGTGCTTTATAAGTACTAATAAACAGACAATATCCTAGTAACTAGGATGCTAATAAGCAACTAGCTAATAGTGATAATTGGACCCTAAACTGAAGTGTTACCAAAAAACTAATTCAGGTGTGTTTAACAGGGGTCCACCAATTATGATTTGACCTCAAACAATGTGAAAATTGTATTAAGCAAAACACAAATGTATCCCTAATAAGCTAAAAATTTAAGATGTTCAGCTAATGTCTCCTTATCCTTTCTACATTCAAATGTATTAAGTAAAATTAAATTGCATTATAAAGATAATATAGATAGTTATTCCACTCTGTGCAAGCTATATTAAACTAATGCAAGTAATAAACTAATGTTTATTTTTCAGGTTATTCTTGCATTAACAATAAAAAAAGCAGCCATTTTGATTGTTTCCACATGGCATGGCAGCGGTCATATGGTACAAGTCAGAGAACTCAGAACTTATTACAACTTATAAACTCGATTTTTAAAGAGGACATGAACGCTTTTTACAAGCCGGAATCTCATAATTACGGTAATATGGTGTGTGTGGACCCATGATCAGCCACTAAGGACCAATCCAATGTCCACTAAGGGGTCCTTATGATCTAGACCCCTGATTTAAACTAAATTAATAAAGCCTCTTCATCTAAAAAGTCTATTTAAAAAAAATTAACAGGCTCACAGTATACAAATTGATGTGAATTTGAAAGCATGTAACAGCTACAAACCAGAAATTCATCTCCAGATTCAAATTTGCTCTCTATTTCTTTGCCCAGATCCCCCTCAGGCAGCTTGAGGTCCTCACGCAAATCTCCATTATCCTTCAGCAGGGAAAGGTAGCCATCGGTGATGCCAACCAGCTGTGCCACAGGAAAGGCAAAAAATGCACATTCATTCAAAAAAAGCCACAGAATAGATCAAAATGTAGACATTTTCTGCTTAGTGCAAATTCTTTAGCACAAATCATACACTGTATATGTGAACATGGCTGATGAACATTGATAAATGAGGCCTAAGGCTGATTACGGTTTGAACTTACTTGATAGTCCAGTCTCTTGATATTAGGAACATCCATGTTGTGGGTAGAGGGACAGATATCTTCATTTTTCTTTCCAGTAAATATGTCTATTCCAACCATGTGCACCTGAAAAGGAAATTAAATAAATGCATTTAAAACTTTTAATGATAACAATGTTACTGATTCAGTAATATGCAATGCATTATGAAATGTGGCCGTTTTTTTTTATTAAGCCCTCAACAGTGAGTTTATTAATTTGATACCTTGGCGTGTCCATGCTTGCCAGTCTTGGAAGTAGACATCTCCACAATCTTGCAAGGACGTCCCTTTAGCACCACAAAGCCGTTCTTACGCAGAGCACTGCACTGCATGGGGAATGTTAGAGAAGCCCCAGCATCTCCACTGGTGAAATCAGTATCAAGATCAGCCATGATGGGTTAATCGAAGAGGATTCTGTACGCAGAAGAAAACGGAATAATTAACGTTACCACAATCATGTAATATAGTATTTACATAGGAAGGAGCACAGACGGTATCAGATAGTAATACTAATTTGATATATACTACGCTCAGAAATCCAAGGTAGTACCATGGCACATGTGCAAACACATTACCGTATGGTACTCTTAAAGAGATAGTTCACCCCAAAAATATTTTTTTAAATTGTCATAATTTTCATTTCTTCTGTGGAACCTAAAAGGAAATTAAAGAAATTGCAACAAACAACAAATGTCAATGATAACCAAAACATATGTTCAACAGAGCAAAATCACACAGGAGCAACACGAGGCTAGGGTGAGGAAATGACGTTATGTTCATTTTAGGGTGAACTATCCCTAGAAGTGTGGTGAAACATTCGCACATTATGCTGAAATAACGATAGAATATCCATTTGTCTGTTAATGTGTAAATCCTACAGACTTAACAGAGAACAAGTTAAAGCTAAAACAACACGAGCTGTTTGGGGTGCTCTAATAGACCGTAACTTAAACTTGACTACGAACTAATTTGCTACCAATGTTGTAAATGTGAACAAATCTACCACGGCCTGGAGACCCACAAAAGGCGCGCAAAAGTTGAACCTCGCTAAATTTGCCGAATCTAATGCAGTCAGAGGCGCCGTTTGAATGTTTAAGCTGGATGAATGACTCACTTTACAGCTACACGCAAAGTTAACCGGAACTACTAAGTTGACCGAATCATTTAAAGAACGTTTATTAGCTTACAAACATATAAACCTTGCTTTTGCTCGGGAACAAACCCTTATCATGGAACATCGTTCAAAAACGAGTAAACAGAGATGTTCGCATGGGAATCAAGAACTTTTGCCAGGCCGTTATGCTGCTCTTTCTAGCTTTGACACACATGCAAAATAAAACAACTCCACACCCAGACGCTCTGATCACACAATCGACCGCTTCAGGACACCGTCTTGGATCGCCAAATCCTCTTCCAGAGTTGTATCCACACACTGTGTTGTATTAAGAAGATTCGCCTATAAATGTTGCGATGCTGTAGCAGAGAGCATTGAAAACGCCAGTCATTCCCTTCCAACAAAAGACGGAAAGATCTGCGCATGCGCGCACCTTTACGGCAACGAGATTCTCATGCACGAGGAGAAACTGCTACAGCTGCCTGCGTAGTGCTCAAATTTAAGCAGAAAAAAAACAATTATGAAACAACAACAACAAAAAAAAATCACGAAATAGTACAACTTTAAAGGTCACCGTACAAAAATATCAAACCATTGTTTTGGCCATCAAATGTCATTGATAAAAAAAAATTAGTGCATTTATCATTGCAAACACGTGGCAACTTGCTTCGATTTGTCATTTCTGAAACGTAGGCGACCCTTGTCCTGAGATCTAGTTAACCCATTTTCTTAAACCCAACCTTCATTTGATAGTTGAATGTATCATATGTCATTATTGTTTGCTCTGCCCATCACCAATTACAAAATATGATGATTTTGGAGTTTAAATATATTGGAGTTCATTATTTGTTCTGTAGTAGCCTACTATCTAATAAATCAGTTCATTAGAGAGGAATTGAATACCAGTTTGGGGCTCCACATTCCACCTTATTCAACATTGATGATATTATCAGCATAGGCCTACTGATTTTTGAAAGATTGTGTGATACTGAAGACTGAGTATAAACAGGAATAAATTGCATTTTAAAATAGCATAGCCATATTAAAACACAAACCAGTTATATATTTTTTCCCCCACAATTACTGTTTTTACTTTATTTTTGATCAAATAAATGCAGCCTTGGTGAGTAAATAATAGACTTGCAGACCCCAAACTTTTTAACAATAGAGTAAACATAACATTCACTGCATCTTTGCAATAACTTTCCAGGTAGGCTACTTGGAGACTCATCAAACTGCCATGAAGTATAAATTTAAATGGAAGAATGACTATAGCAACAGATTAAAAGACACATGAAAAGGGTTTCAGCACCATTGTGTTTTCAAAGGCCTTCCTATGTATCATTTAATATAATACAATTTAATGATTCTGCTTCTATTCTGCATAACTATAAAGTAATTATTATGTCCTAACAGTCTTGGGATTTTTAGATATCCATAGCAAAGCAAATAATTAAGGTTGTTTTAAGTTGGAATGGTTTACTTTAAAATATGCGTAATTTTATAATGGCAAAAAATACACAAATGTAATACAACCATTGTAACGAACAAAATGTAAAAAAAAAATTGTACATTTTGTCTTTGAATATATTTATACACTAAACAATTGTAGATTATGTTCCTTCATATATTAATTTTACATATATTATAACTCCCATATTAATTATGTGAGTTTGTATAACCTTCTTTCAGTTGATTTATAGCTTATCACACAAATTCTCCACATAAAAAACTGAAAGGACAAATCACTTTAAATTTGCAATCATATATCACTACTGAAATACACTGAAAAAAATATTATTTTGCAATGTGATGCCTTTAAAAATATTTTTAACAGATATATAACTTTGGGAATATAAAAGTAATATACAATCATCTAAATTCATCTGCGCCAAGGCCAGTGCTTGTGTAGACTGTATATTGCACCGTCTGTCAAGATTACGCTGTTGTGTTTAGTTAATCTCTTTACTTGCATCTAGACTAATTATTTCCTGTCAAATGATGAGCTCTGCTTGAGGCTTAGTGGAATATACAGCAGATCAGATTCAGTTCTGTCATAACAGGTAAGTTCTTCTGTGACTGCAGTAACAACGTTCATTCCACAGTTGCCATAAACCAAGGGTCCTCCTTCAGGCCTCTGTAGAGCTCTTGAGCTGCACCATCTCAGCCTCTTCTTGGGGTTTGGAAGGAGGGGCTCCACGTTTCCGGTGGAAAACTGCTGCTATCTCTTCACAAGTCTTCCCTTTTGTTTCAGGTACACGCAAGTAGATAAAAACGGTGAAACCGAACAGGAGTACTGCAAAAATGACGAAGACATAGCTCCCACAAAGACTCTAGGGACCAAAGCAAAGTTCGACTTATTCTTATTTTGAAGACCTTATGTAGTGATGGCATGTAAGGATACTGCACAATTGTAAAGATGCTGGAAACTCTTACCTCTAAATAAGGGAAAAACATGCCAATAATAAAATTGCATGTCCAGTTGCAACACCCAGCTAATGCGATGGCTGCTGGACGTGGTCCCTGACTGAAGAGCTCTGCCACAATGAACCACGGGATTGGTCCAGGCCCGATCTCAAAGAAAGACACGAACATGAATATGGCCGTCATGCTGAGGTAGCTCATCCATGAGTAAACATCCTGAAAAGCAGAAGAGAGAGAATTATGAAACAATCACAGACCAGCAACTCAGTCCTACTCTGTCAAATGACAAATGCAGAAACTCTATAGCTCCTGATTTGGAGTTTTCTCCATTTTATAAATGTTGCCAATCTTACCTGAAATGCCAGGCCCACTGTCATGGCCACTGCACAGCAGCACATTCCTCCCAACCCAATCAGAGTGAGAGTTCGTCGGCCCGTTCTGTCCACCATGATCACCTGGAGAGCGCGCATACAGACACATTAATGAACCAGATTGTTCAAGAATCACAAGAATCATCTACGATTGCCTGTATGCTTAAAGACTTCTCGAAGATGCACTCAGAGTTTATTTAATTTATTTATATTTTTGCCATATACTGACATCTAGTGGTTTTGAACTGTTGAACCAGCACATGCAATAGGCTGTAGTGATATTTGGATATGTATCGATATGTATTATAATTGATTTTTATTATTAATTTAAATTATTATTATTATTATTAATAAATTATTTATTATTCAAATTATTTTATCTACTATTTAATAATAATCATTTGTATTATTACTGTCTACTATTATTATTATTTTATTGTTTAATATTATTATTATTCATTTATATTTTATTTTTCCTTTCCTTCTAGCAGTTAGTGGTCATGTTTCCACATTACCACCAGATTTTAGGGGTTCCACACCACCAAAATCACAATTCAGCCACAAAATTAAAAATATTTGGCTGGTCATGTGATCGCAACATGCCTTTAATTTTATTAAGCTTGTTTCCTTCACAAATTTATCTCACAATTCTGACTTTTTTCTCACAATTGTGAATTTATATCCCACAATTCTGACTTTTTTCTCACAATTGCATATTTACATCTCACAATTGTAACTTTTTCTTACAATTGTGAATTTATATCCCACAATTCTGACTTTTTACTCACAGTCGTGAATTTAATTCTCGCAATTTTGATTTTATAACTCACAATTACGAGTTTAAAACCCACAATTCAGACTTTTTTATTACTCGCAATTCTGATGCAATTTATTATTTTTTTTAAATTGCAAGATATTAACTGTGAAAAATTGGGACGAAAAAAGCTGAGCGCAATCTCATGTGAAATTATATATTTTTCAAAATGACTATTAATTTCTTTAGAGCTCAAATCAGAAAATGACTTTCTAAAAGCATTGTGCTTTCATGCACCAGATTCATCAAAACGTGTTCTGAATGGATTATTTGATTTAGAGTAGCTATTGACTCATTGCTCAAAACTGTTTTCACTTGCAGGCTGCCCTTGAACTAGCATAGATAAACACTGCAAAGTCACGATAACATATGGCTTCTCTCCAGCTCTATGAGCCGACAGACCTCTGCCGATCCAGCAGTTATTATAACTGATTATATAATCCTTTCACAAGATTCAAGGTGAGGTGTGAAACATGAGCATGATTGATAATGTCAGCAATATTTTTGTATAAATCTAACCTAAATTTTGGACAAATTATGATCATAGTGCTAATGAGTGTTGTTCTGACTTTCAGTTCTAACAATTGCTAGCTGTTTTCTAAAGAAACATGCTCTCAACTAAGTTGGATTTATCTACAATATCAGTCTTGAGTTACTGACAAAAAGCATTAAAGGAAAGTAAGACCCAAGAGGCAACGGCACTGTGCTGTTTCTAAGAGACGAGAGCCTGTTCCTCAGCAGCCGGTGTTTGCCTTTAAATTAGTGTCTATTTACCGACACAAGGGTGAAAATGATGTTAACAACTCCCACTCCAATAGTGGCATACACAGGCTGACCGACCCCTGCAGTCTGGAAGATCGAAGTAGAGTAATAAAAGATCTAGAAAAAACACAAAGACAAGATCAAATATTACTGTAGTAATGTGGTCCATAAAACTTCAATTGAAATGTGTTTTTTTATTTATTTATTTTTTATAATATGGGAGTAAAATTGAGCGTACAGCGTTGATCCCAGAGAACTGCTGGGAGAAATGCATCATAAGGGCCACAAAGAGCTGCTGGCGGTACACAGAGGAACGGAGCAGACGCAGGATGGACATCTTCGCCTCTTTCATGGCCTCCTCCTTCTGCGCCTGCATCTCTGCTATGTCCTTTGAGGTGTCGTAATCTCCCTTCAGCCTTTTCAGACCTACCAGAAGGAAAAAGGACAGCAAAGACTGAGCATCATTATTTTGTCATTTGTTATTTTGGGAAGTTCAGAATAAAGGCCTGTTGACACCAATAACTATAACGACAACTAAGTTATTTTTTATGTTTTAAAAATCACTCAACTCTAAGAGAATAGAAGTGTCCATATCACAACTATAACAACAACAACGAGACAGAGTAACAATATTTTTGGAATCCCCAAAATTTTTCCCCCCCACAATTTCTTTGAAGAATATTTGTCATTATAGTGTTCCTTCTGGAAAGGGCCTTTAGAGAAAAGAGAATGAATTAAATTGTAAAACATTCAAATTATTATGACAGTGTTTTAGTGGCACGTTAAAAAAACTCATTTAGAATAGAGTCATAATGTTATAAGATTAAGACCCGAAAGTTTTAAGAAATAAAGTCATAATGTTAAAAGAACAAAGTCATAAGGTTATGATGAGAATAAAGTTGTAATATTGTGAATATAAAGACTTCATACGCATTTCACTTAAAATACAAATTCGTATTACTTTTTGCATTGAAAAGCTATTATAAAGCATCACTGTTTTTATCATATATATATTTTTTAAAAAGTATATAAAGTCATACATTTTGTGTAATATGGCGTGAAAGTATTTTGAGGGGAAATATTTTTTATGAGCAAGCCTTTTAACATAAATAAATGTTCATCAATGCAGAGAATGGATTTGGCGAATTTAGATAGCATGATTAGCATGTGTTAATATTTACTAACAAATAAATACTTTTGGCAAATCGGCACAGAGTTTTCATTAGTATCTGGCAGCGGTTATGAACAGTAGGAAATTGAATTTATTAAGGAGAAATAACCAGACAGACATTCAGGAAATTGCCTGTTTTGTGCAATCTGTAGCAAACAGTGGTCAACTCAATCTTTATTAATTCTCATAATATTGCGACTTCAATCTCACAAAACTTTATCCTTGTCATTTTGAACGTTATTCTCAAAGAATTCTACTTCAATGTTGTAATGTTGTGATTTTATTCTTTAAACTTAAAGGAGCTGTATGTAAGAAATTTATTTCAATTAATCATAAAAAGGCCCTGATATGTCACTAGACATTAAGAAATCATGTACATTTCAAATACTTATATCACTGACAACAGTTGTCCGGCCAGCATATTGTCATTTAAAAAGTGCAGTTGCAGCCCTCAACTGATGTTGATGTTGTCATGTTGTGTTTTGGTCTGATGCTCCACCCTCCACCTATCTACCAATCACGAAGTCAGTAGTGTTGCAGCATCCGGGTTGCCAGCTCTGCTCTAGTTACCACAGCTGCAGCTCGTCACGTTCCTGCGGGATCCTGCAGCCTATCTGGCAACCTTGAGTCAGGGAGGAGGGGGAGGGGATACACCGCTCTACAGTAATTTGAAAGTGATTGCAGTACCAGTTTTGGCCACAATCTTACATACAGCTCCTTTAAGGCCTATTATGAGATTATTCTCAAAATGTTTCTATTTTTACCACTGTTACAAATGACATGCTTAAGCATACATTGTCTAAGAGGAAGGAGTGAGAAGACTTTGGCACATACTCTTGCATGTTTCTTCTACTTTGCCCAGTTTGATGTAGAGGTATGGAGGACTCTCTGGGCACAGAAGCAGCAGCAAACTCTGCAGGATGGCAGGAGCTCCAGAAAGACCCAGCAACACATGCCACATGTCATCATTTCCCAGCAGGAACTCCAGACCAATGACCTGCAGAGAGCAAGGACACCTGCACACATCTTACAGCTTCTAATAAGAGCCGACCAAGATTAAATAACTTCAAAAAAAGCTTCATTTTTTTAAAGTGATGAAGACTCAGAGCAGATAATGCGACCTTAGACTTAATAAGCATTTTACTTTTTGTATCGAAAAGCTATTACAAAGCATCACTATTTTTGATCACAAAGGTGATTGTTAAACTGATTTGCCATAGAAGGTCATGTATGGCCATGCTCTTTTATTTAACACATTTAAATATCCAGTTCCCGCTATGAACCTTTGAATCTTTATGTATTTGTGGATTTGACACTCACTTGACTAAGAAGGATGCCAATTACAATAGCCAGTTGGTGGAGCGCTCCCATAGCCCCTCTGTACTTCACTGGAGAAATCTCTCCAATGTACAAGGGCACCAGGCCAGATGACAGACCTATAACACATATGTCAGTCAAAACATTTTGCATAAACATATACAGTGCAATGTAATAACACAAATACATTTAAGAAAATATCTGTAATGAATGAATGCCTGTGTACACCAGTCAGATCATCTTAGCATGTGAAGTCATTAAACTCTCTATTGATATCTGATATAATCTGAAATATAGTGCTACTTCGTTTGTAGGCAGCGACAACGATGCATCTGAATATGCCTACCTCCATACTGTATCGTAGGTAAAAAAACTATATGTGAGCCGTATAGTGTATTCACAGTATTCATAAAACATTAGGTGAAAAAGATTCTGAAGTGCACATTTGATGGACACTTTGCTATCCCATGAGGCCACGGAAAAGAATTTAGGAATGGGGGATGTAGTACATCCTAATTTTATTCATACTACACACATTCATACTATATAGAATGTATAATGTCATTTTTAACGGTTGCAAAGTACGTTTCAAACCAAATGTAGTATGCGATTTCGGACTAAGCAATGATTCAATCATGCATCATTCACACTGATTTGTTGAATGAAGCAAGTACTGCCTGTATGAGTGAGTCATTGTATCATTCACTCACCTGATTCATTCAAAAACACTGAGTCATTAAGGAAACACTGCTACTGTGTTGTACACAAAGGTTTAAATTTCGACTTAATTTGAAATTACTTTCGTTGGTGAGAAGATTGGATCATTTTACTGATTTGAATTTTGAATCATTTTCAGTTGAGTTCAATTAAAATGTTAGATATTTTCAAAAGCCAAATTTCTTTGTAACTATTTATTCCTTTTTATCTTACGTGTTCTTGTTTCTTCTTCTTTGTTTTTAACACATTTTAAATACAATTTTACTAAATGCTTTACTATTTATTGTTATTTTTATTTCTTATGCATCAGTTATGATTAGCTCCTTTCAAACTAGCCTTGGCTTTCTCCCAAGATTCTCTGAAAAGGCGAAACTCTGTCTTACCACAGTACAGCCCCATGATAGCGCGTCCTGCTATAACCATGAGGTGAGGTGTGCCCATCTTAGCCAGGCTCATGAGCAGCCCAGCTGTTATGGCAAGGACATTTATTGCCAGCATGCCTTTGATCCTGCAAATCAATATTATACAGAGAGGAATACAAATGAGTCATTCTACTGTATCTGAACATATAAAACTTCATTCTTCAAGATAAAAAAAAGTTGAAGCTATTTCTTGCAATTCACGTCATTGAGCGCTTTCCTTTTTATCTTATCGCAATTAATAATTTTCACAAGAAAGTTCACAGATACTCCACCTTCCACGGAAGTCGCTAACAAAGCTCACTAGAAAGGAGGACACCATGCCTCCAATGGAGAAGATGGCCACAGACAAGGACCAGTACATGACCACAGAAGGATCAGAAGCTTCTTCTTGTTCGGTGGTGTTTCCTCCTCCTCTACGGGCCAGTTCTTCATTATAGACACCGAGAGATCTTGCATAGTGCCTCTCAATGACCTACAACACAAATGGCACACTGCCATGACAAGTTCCTATCCTAATAATGACACAGAACAATAGTCCTTTCTCTTGAAGATATAATCTTAAGCAGATAAATCCATATCATTCTGGCTCAGAATGCAGCTGGGAGTGTGAAGGTTGTAATGATGGTGTGATGACTGACCTTCTGTGGGGCGTTGATGACTCCCAGGCTGTATCCCATCTGCAGAGAGCCAAGTGTGGCTGTGAACACTGCCAGAGCGAGCGTGCCTGTTAACTGCTGCGAGACAGGAACACAGGACTACCGTTAACACACACACAAACAAACATAAACGTTCACTTACTGTATTGATTTATTCTTTATTAAAGGGAAATTAGGGCACACTTTACAATGTTTCATTTGTTAACTACATTAGTTAACAATAACCAATGTGAACAATACTTCAGCATTTAATCTGAACTAATGTTAATCGCAACATTTACTAATACAGATCAAAAGTTTTATTTGTTAACGTTAGTTAATGCACAGTGAACTAGCGTGATTAATGGTTAATACATGCTGTAAAAATGTTCCTCATCATTAGTTCATTTTAGGTAATGCATTTACTAATGTCAACAAAGGAGTCCTTATTGTTACAGAAATTAGTGATACAAACAAAATTATCTGCAAAAAGGACAATGCTCAAATAAATATTTGACTCTTAATTAAGGTATTGAACTGAATGAAAGAGAAATGTGTGTGAACTAAAATATAATGCATCCATTTTAATAAAATTGCGCTCTTAATGAACAATTAAGTTCATGTTTTTATTTATACCAATAATAAAATGTGGAGGTAACACTTTAAAATAAGGTTTCATTAGTTAACATTAGCCAACTACTTTAGTTAACGTGAACTAAGAATGAACAACACTTCTACAGCATTTATTAATCGTAATGAGAATTACAACATTTACTAATGCATTAATATAAAGTTGTATTTAACATTATGTAACGCACTGTGAACTAACATGAACAAACTGTATTATTAATTAACATTAACAAAGATTAATAATACTGTAACAAATGTATTACTCATGGTTAGTGCATGTTAGTTAATACATTAACTAATGAGACCTTATTGTAAAGTGTTACCAATGTGAATTTTATAATTATTCTTCTGTTTGAACAAACATTTGATTTTAGCTCAATGAACATGATTAGATAAAGTTGGATTAACACATTTTACTCAAGATAATTGAGGTGATGCAACTAAAAAAAGCATATAAAATATCTGAAATGTAGATATGTATTTTGTGCAGTGAGTAATACTCGAGTAAACAGACCTAAAGCTCTTGATAGTCTGAAAATCTCTGGTAAAACTAATTTAACAGTGTGTTTTGCTCATATTACGTTGCTACAATTATCCACTATAGTAGTAACAATAATGCACAATCACAAGAAGCCTCAACAAATGTGTGTATAAAGCAGGTACACAGAGTTCATTCACATTACCAAGTACTTATGTAAATACACACTTATGTAAATAAACAGTCATATAAATGGAATGACCAGCTCCTGGTACATCATCTAAAAACTGTTGCATTTCTTAAAGTACAAAAATTCTTACTAGTCAGTTAGTACTGAAACAGAATCCATATTCTGGTCATTTTTGTGATTCATTTGTCCATTTTTAACCAAATGGTTGTTTATTTAGTCAAATCACAGCAACAACGATAAACCCAGAAACATCCTAATCACAGCATGAATAACATATGCATTCATGATTCTGCATGTCATGACTATCATGTCTGCTGTCTCATTCATACAAGAGTAAATTCAAAACATTCCACAAAAAATACATTTAAATTAAACATGCATCTAGCATGATCAACCTATTAATCATACAGACTGCATTTTTATTATCCATTTGAATTCATGACGACAGATGAAAACATTTACCTTCTCCATTTTGCATGAAGTGTCAGCAAAAGACGCTCTTGGTCGTTATTAGTGGCTCCAAGGTTCTCGGCTGCTTTCCCAATACTCAGTAAATGATCAATCCTGTCACTGCAGGATCATGCTGCACACGGGTGCTGTGCTGGAGACCTTATGCCCTCATCCATCCGCTAATGATGTCCATGTCTCACCGCGGTTTATGGTGCTTAAGGAAAATCATTTCCCTATACTGAATACCAGACTATTATTTCACTCTTAACTGTGGTGACATGACAACTTACATGATTTTAAGGGATTTTGATAAAACATTTGTGGTCCAAATGTCAGCATTGCAAGATTGTTTTTTATTTTTTTTTATTTTTTTATAGCATATCAAAATGGCTGGAAAAGACATATCTGCTTGAGCAAGAAGAGTTAATGTATTACACCTATCAGAGCAAAGTTCTCAGGCACTCAGTGATACTGGTAGTTTCGTGAGCTCTGTAAAAAAACAGCCAAAGATTCAGCAGAGGGAGGGACACAAAGACACGAGCCAAAAAAGGTACTTATTTGTTTTATTTTTTCTTATCATAAAATAAAAAAACAAACCAAAACGAGGAGGACATAGTGCTTCCATCACCGTTAAAGAACTGAAAATCTTGTTTACAGCTTCTGAAAGAACGACGATCATTAAAAATGTATTAAGACAGAAACATTAACCATTCTTGAGTGTCAAATAAAGTAGTTAATTAAAAGAGCTCAGTGAGGTTCTTTCCTAGCACTGGCTGAACACAGTGTTTCACACAGCATACATACATCAGCAGGACATTATTGCTAAAAACCTCTCATTCCATCACCATTAAAATATCTTCTTTGCTATGTAAGAGATGTGAAAGAAATATAAATATCTATATAGTGTGCAAACATCAAGTGACTTTGAGAACATCTAAAGCGTTGAAATGAAGACAAAGGCAAATATACAAAACAAAACGCCCCAAAAAGGTAATAAACTGAAAAAAAAAAAGATCTAATTAACAATACAAAAACAATACATCTGTTGACCTACTGTAGTAGTTCTGTAACAAATATTGTACCAGGAAGTTAAGATCAACATGATATTTTAGTCCAAGAGACTGTTTATAATTAGTGGATTTTGAGTACGACATAATTGTCAGAAAGAGACACTTTTCCCTTTTTGGAATGTTTTCAGCCCCAGGTTTTTTTTAACCGATTAAGCATTGTTGCGAAATAAAAGCTACCGCTTAATACATCAATGCTAAGTCTTTTGAAATAATGAAAAAAAAGACTTACAGCCTCAAATTATGGATGGAACGTAAAAGTTATAGCGTAAGAATATTAAAATGCAAAAATCAATGTGCCTTTAATGGTTGATTTCACACAGGTTAACTTGTGCTAGGCACTATAAAGAAATCTAAATAAGTCATCATCAATTCTCAATAGTCACTGAAATACAGGTGCTTTTATCCTTTCTTTTTTTTCTTTTAAATTTAGTTGATCTCAGATATCATGTTGCTCTGGCATACACGTCGCACAACATCTGATCCAGTGTCTACACAAACATGCAACCAGTGAGGGGGATCGTTTTCTTCCACGTGTGGCTATATTTCGTGCTCCTGTTTCGTCATGTTTAAAACATTCCAAAAAGAAGTTAAAGAAAGAACTCAAAATATGGTTTGCAACTTAAAGATCCGCTCATCTCCGTCTTTCCAACCTCAAAGCCATAAAACAAACTTTGATATAGTACTTTGATACAGTATAGTACTTATTGATACAGTACTTTTGATAAATGTACAGTATATGGATCTTGTTGACAATATACAAATGAGCACCAGTGTTATTCGTTTCTTTTGAGCATGTCGTTCTCTTCTGAGAAATTGGACAAAAACGGGCATCACAGATACTTGTGAAACTGGCAGAACTGTTTGCCAATATAAAAGTGTAACATCAAGAGACTAAAGCTTGGTCTTAGCCTGAGTGCTTGCTAATGTTATCCCCACATTTGTTATCTCTTAAATACTGTCCAATTCTTTACAATCATGCAACTGACTAAAATTCAATGGTATCTGAAAAAAAGTCAATCAAAACCAATAGGAAACAGGAACATAAAGGGGAGGATCCTAAGAACAGGCTTTACCAGAGGCCACAAAATAAGGTCTAAAACCGAGTTCAAGTTAATCAGCGCCCTCTTCTGGGAAATGCGTGCCACTGCAGGTGACGTCAGATACTGCATCTCCATGAGCCGTGTGCAGAGAGTCAGTGCTCTCCCTACGGACTGTCTCCAGGCTCACTCCTCAGAGTCTCTAATATTTTTTTCTAATAATGTTTTTCAGACCAAAGTGTCAATGTACCGTGCGCTCACAGATGCAATGCAGACAGGAAAAAGGCTCCACAGTGTTAGGTCTGCAGAAGCTTCACCAGTTCATCAAAGTGTTCCTGTTCAGCGTCATGAAGAAAACTTGACTGCTACCGCCTGATCGGACCGAGGCGAAGAACACCTGCAGAAAAGAAACGAGAATTGTTAGCTTGTCCAAAACGGTCTAAGCTCTTTTAGATAAACAATAACATTTACATTTGGAGGAGATGATCTAAAACAATACCAGTCTACACAGTATGGGGACGCTTAAGAGACTAACCTTGTCGTTCCTCTCACAGAGGAACTTGAGTCTCTGAGCTCTCTTGTGCATGAAAACACCATCCAGGTGGCCCGTTTCAACAGAGCGGATCTCAATGGCTTTCTCTCCCCAGCCCATGATCTGGTTGGAGTGGATATAAGCTGCAAAACAGAACATCTTATTGAGTTCTGATGGATAGACCAAAAACAATATACCATAGTTCTCAAAAATGTGAATACCTATTATTTTACCTTTTTTTTTTTAAATCGGCTACTAAAGACATAAGTGTTGGCGATTATTATTGTGATATTTTGTTCAATTCTTGGGGACAGATAGATCATTTATGCAGAATGTCCAAGCAGCTCTTTTCCATATAATGACAGTGAATGGGGACCATGGCTTCAAGTGAGACTTTTGTTGAAATAATGACTTAAACCTCATATGGAAGAAGAAGAACTGGGATATAGCAAAAAAGCCATATTGAAAACATTTTTTGGAATTATGCCTGGTTCCCATCCACCTTCACTGTATTAAACAGAATAAACAGACATTCTGCTAAATATTTTCACACAGCTCCCTATATAAAAGTGGATAAACAAGAATATCAAACTTTATTCATCAACATACCATATAAAACAATATATAGAGTATAACAAATCTCAACTTATTAATCATTTACACCATTGCAAAATGTAAACTATATTGTTACCCAGCTCTAATGTGATAAATGCACCTATAAGGCATGAGGATATTAAGATTTTATAAACATTAACATTACGCATTGTTTCAAAACAGTTTTGCAGAAAATCATATTGTGAAAAGCACTAATCTCCTTTGGTGTCGCAAGTTTAGAGCAACATGAGTGAGTAAGGGGGGAGTAAATGATGAAACTATCCTTATAAAATACACTCCTTACAAACAGCAAAAACAGATCTCTGAATGCCATGAAATCTATTTTTTAGTCTATTTTTCCACCACACATACGTTTAAAAAGCATTGCATAGGAATCGCCCTAAAGATGAATAATTCTGTCCGTGAACACTACTAATAATCATAACAGCCTGCCAAACCACTAGGAGCTCTGCCCAAACACTCCCCCATTGAGATTATTATATATGATAAAGCATGCCAAAAGCCCTAAATCTTGCAGATAATGTGTTACACAAACCAGCTCACACACACAAATAACCATGTTCATACTTCTCAAAACATGAGAGAAGTTGATGCATAGTTCGAATGTTTATGAACTCTGGGTGAACTACTTGTATCTCCTCCCACAAGGCAGAGGATTGTGTGGCGGCCCTTTGTAGTTTTCGTGCACTTCTGTTGGCTGCGCATCCCTCAAGCTCTGCCCATGAGCTGGCAGAACAAGCTAACACAAACAGACACTGCGGTAGAGGGCCAATCGGATATCAGTGCCACTGTGAATGTGGAATCAGTCGGCACAGCAAAATATGCTAGGTTTTTAAAAGTATTCTCAGAAGATAAATATTTGATACATTTAATAGGAGTCATTCTCTGGTCACTATGGCTTGTTTTGTTCTTGTACAGCTGGGATGGGTTACTACTGTATGTTTCTATTGAAACAAACAGACTCACCAACAGAGGTGGGCATCTCTCCCCACTGCAAGACCACGTCCTTGGTGATTCTGCCGTAAGTGTTGACATAAACGCCCTCATCTTCATAACACAGCAGCATCTCCATGCCATCAGTCTTAGGAAGCACCACGATGGCATGAGGGGTCACACTGCTCTGAATCTAAGAGAGCGAGAGATAGAGAGAAGAAATGGTTATTTGCAGATCATGCTATAGTGCTTAAAGAGATCATTAGAGGGTCAATTTACATTTATAGTATTCAACCACGGCTCATCTGTATGGGCAGGTGGGGCACCAAAATATTCATTCACTAGAAAGATCATAACAAATATTTTTCAGATTCTCCAGACTATTTTAAGTGTTTTAAGTGAGCAGGATAACATTTAGCAGATAACTTCGGCAGGAAGGTATCATTATATTAAGCTGGGCAGAGGGTGCCTGAGCGCTCCACAGCGCCCCTCATTTTTCCAATGTAAATCTGTGGTGAATAATGGAACTGCAGGGTGCTCTAAAGCCCCGTTCACACCGCCAGCGATTTTGTCGCTAGTCTCTGTACTGTGAAGTCGCTTGTGGGCGTTCGTAGTGCTGTCACTCTAATGTTATTGGTAGACTGCACGTCTGGCCATATCTATACAACATACCATCACAAGTGACATATACAACTATATCAGTTCAGTTCAGTTCAAGTTCTTTATTCAGTCATTATTACAGACACAATATTAATCACATCAACAACAAAATAATAACATTCAATGCTGAATAGGAGCATGAGGAAGACCTAGTCTTATAATTTCATGCCCCTTTTTTCAATAATCTTAGCTGACACAAAACAGATGGCTTGCCGTTTTTTTTCCGTTTTTTTCTTTATCGAGGTAGGCTACAATATTACTTCACATCTAAATAATTAACAATTTCAAATTTGTCAAACATTGGTTCTTATGCTTCACTGCCTTCGAATTTTCTAAGAACATTTTTTTATACATTTTATTGAATTGAACAATCGTGTTACATGTTTTTTTGCAATGTCCAAAGAGTTCCATAAATTGATCCCAATTACAAGAAACCCTTTTTGTTTTTGTGAGGTGCGTGAATATGGTACACAAAAATGACCTTTTCTTCTGTTGTTACTGTCTGTAATTAGCATGAGTTTGTTTTGAATATATATTGGCACCAAATTATTTTTCACTCTCCACATAATTTGTAGTATTTTAAATTTGACCAACTCTTTTAATTTCAAGGTCTGCAATTTTATAAACAGTTTGTTTGTGTGGTCTCGTAAACCTTTATAAGTCACAATTCTTACCGCTTTCTTCTGATGTAAGAACAGCCTTTCTGTATAACTGGTGCAAGCATTACCCCACACTTCGATACAATATGTTAAATATGGAACAATTAAGGTTTTGTATAGAAGCTGTAATGAAGCTTCATCCAATATGTGTTTAACGTTATAAAGAATACCAATATTTTTACTAACTTTACCTTTGATATGCTCAATATGAGGCTTCCAGCTAAGTTTGCTGTCTAGGATAACTCCCAAAAATTTGATTTCTGAGACACATTCAATATTTACATTCTCAATAACTAATTTTGTGCATCCCTGTTTTCCAAAAACCATATAATTTATATAATAATAATTATATGAAATAATATAATCACAGCGTTTGCAGTCCGCGTAGAATTGACACGTCGTTAAATTTTTGGAGAGGTGCACGTCAGGGTACGCCGTAGGCTACGCATGTTACACAGCCTACGATGTAGCTACAGCGTGAGTTCAATGCAGAAGTATTAATTGGGCTTAACCCCTGAGGGAGGGGTTCTAGCATACCAATCACAGCGCTGTCTGTCTGTCTGTCTGTCTGTCTGTCTGTCTGTCTGTCTGTCTGTCTGTCTGTCTGTCTGTCTGTCTGTCTGTCTGTCTGTCTGTCTGTCTGTCTGTCTGTCTTTTTTTACAGAACGTGAAGAATTTCTACAGAACGTGAGTAAATAAATAGCTTCTGTCTTCCTCAATGCTCCTGAAACCTTTCTTACATTTTTCACACTTTCAAGTGCCATGAATGGAACATAACGTGTGGAGGCACGTTATTTCACCATGATTAGACTACAACCCCCAAGAGCAACACTGCCAAGGGAACCTCTGAACCAATCAAGAGGGTGTTGCCCATGATCGGCTCCCCTAACCAGAAGAACAACTTAATTGTGTTTTTACAGACGCCAAACCGCAGCCTAGTATAGTCTAAACAGCTGCATTCATGTTTACTTTGTGGTTATATATTATTTGAGCAAAACAAATTGTGCAAAAATTAATAAATAAAAAAATATTTCTGAGGTTTATAACAAAAACATCACTTACATGTGATGGTATGTAGATGTCATAGGGGTTTCCAGAATCCACATCTATGACGTGAAAGCCAACACTAGACCCATAGATGACCTTTAACCTCTGACCCTCTTCTACAGTCAGGTCCACAAGCTGAGGCCTGTGCTGCAGTTCTGTGAACGACTGCCAGAGAGAAAGAGATACAGATATAGAGATGGATGCTGAGTCAGGGGAACTGGTTAAACATGCAGTTAATGCATGTAAACCTTTAAGCCATTTTCTTTCATTTACAAATTATTCTATCACATGTTGGTTAAATAAAAAATTAGGCATAAAAGACATACACAGAGAGGGAAAGAGAGAAATATTATTGCAGCATCATACCTTGAAAGCCATGAATTTATGGTACGGCTTGGGGGCCCATGCGTAAATCTCTACCGAGTTCTTCAGTGCGATTACCAGGAATTTGATTCTCTCGTATTTCACTGAAAACAAAGTAAATCATGCTTTCAGTTCCCTGCAGCTCTCAGTGGCAGTCTGTCACATTCATACAAGAAAGCAGACTGTCCCCCGCTGCCACTCTCCATGCTGTTAGAGGTGTGTCGATTAGCATCAGAGTCAGAGATCTCGATTAGCCTACTCTACCATCTCAGACTTAGCCTCTGCTTTAACAGGGAAGCTTTAATCGTTACAATCAATCACTCAATCATTAAATCAATCTATAAAGCACCATAAAACCACAGTGGTTGACCAATGTGCTGAACAATATCATTTAAAAGAAAACTAAAAGACATACAACAATATAATAATAATGACAAAAACAATTAGACAAACCCCATTTACCTTCGTAATTATAGGCCTTCTCAAAGAGAGGTTTTTAATTTTGCTTTAAAAAGTGATTCTGACAAGATTGTTCTAATAGAGAGCGGCAGAGTTCCACAATTTAGGGCCGGCTATGGCTTTTGACCCCGCAAATTATTAATGTTTGCCTCATTCTGCACACTGAGAAAATACAGGCTCACATGGTGCTAATATTTATATTAATAATTGTTGCTAATAAATAAATGAAATAATTTAAAAACAGACTGGCATTGAGATTTACAATATGCTGCAAATAATTATAATAATATATAGGAGTTTTATTTGGATATTAGTTGCTATTGTGCATCATGGTGGTCTCTAAATTGATATTTTACTGGCATTGATATCAAATACTTTTGGTATTGTGACAACCCAGAGATGGTTCACTTACCAACTTTATAGTGAATGCAGCCTTCCAGATCCCCAACAGTGATCCAGCCCTGTTTCTTCTCCACCTCCGGATCATTGTGCAGTATCCTGTTTCTCAGCCATGACAAGTAGTAGACACGTAGTTTGTTTTTCTTCCCTGAAAACATCAATGACGAGGTTGACAAGCTAAAAAAAAACGTGCCGTGTATCCCCAAAGACACAAAGGCTTTTTTTAGAGTAAAAAAGCTCCATCAACTTTCATGACCTTATCAAGCTCTTTTGTTCTGAGACAAACCTGATATGGTGACCAGGACGTTTAGACCCTCCAGCACGTCCATCTGTTGGAAGCGTCGGCGAGTGATGAGGTTATACACCTTGCCCTGACCGCTGCGGTCCAGCAGCATTAGACCGTTCTCAGTGCCCACCAAGAGGTTCACACCTGAGCATCCACAAACATGAATTTGATTCTGATTTTTATCAGAAGAGGAATTGCAAGGCAATTGAAACAAAAAAGGCATATATCAGAGAGAGCGTGATGTACCCCATAGAGCAGCACACAGGATCTCCGAGTTGAAGCGCTTCTTGTACTTGCGGATCTCTGGTGTGTCGCTGTGGGGTCTGATGTTGGTGGGGTTGACATTGACCACAGAGATCTTCCGAGCCTCGTTCAGTTTGGCCTGCTCCTGACGCAACAACTCATTAGCAAACAACACTGCAGAGGTAAGACGACGAGAAAACACATTAAATGATATGAAAGAAGAAGCATTTCATTCATAAACAGAACGTTTGGGCAAGAACCAAACCCGGCGGGAAGAAGCACGATTATGCTGTAATGCTCTTATCTCATTCAATGCCCAGCATAAACCTATTTTAAAGCCCATTTTATCAAAAATATAGCGCTAGCCAAATTACTTTCCATAAATGTTGTTCCTTTCATTGTTGCGGGTGGTGATAAGATGTGTTTGTTTGTGATTTGTATATTTACCGGCCGCTGAGCTCTCATCGTTGTCGTCTGTGGGGGAGGTTTGATATACATGTGGATCCACAAAAGGAGTGAAAGAAGCTTTCGAACCACCGCCAAGACCAAACTGATACAAAAAAACAAACAAATGCACCATATCAGCTCCAATAAAACTATTTAATAGCAGGCATTTAGAGAAAAACTGTCTGAGTTTGGGGCTAAAAATACAACAGGAGTGCCATATTCCTCTGTTTAGATTATAGATGTGTCAGAAAAATTGGCTTTTATGACTCAGCAGGGAATTTTAGACTTTCACATGCGATGATGAATCAGTAAATAATGTTTGTGTCAGAGTTATGAAAATGTTAAGAGTCATTATAACAGCAAATTGTTTCCCTCATATTTTTAGGCCCTTTGGCCTCATTTTAATGGCAGTCAAGTAGAGAGAGCGCTGCAAATTATTGGAAGACAAGGGCAGGACAGGACTGGGAAATAACGCAAGCCAGTTTCATTAGCTTGGCCTGGCTAAATATATCAGATCCTTACCCCTCTTAAATGTTATCTACCTCATCCATAGAGTCCAGGTCCTGGGAATTAAGGCCTGTTGGAGTTCCTGATGGGGAGTGACTTTGCTGCACCAGGTCTGGTAGATTCCCGTGGCCTGCGAAACCGTTGCTCTCGCCGTGGCCCAAGCGCTGCCTCTCATTGGTCTATACAGAAGATCAAACAATTTGAAAGTGATACATTTGAGGAACAAGAGCGAATCCAAGTCTCTTTGGAGGTAAATAGCATCTAATGTGACAGGCATGGCATCTCACCTCTCTCATTTTTAGGGTACCATCTTTAGAGTCATTATTGTAGGAATCACCGAAGGACTCGTGGCTGCTTGTGAAAGACTCGTTATTTCCCTGAACAGAGGGCCTGAGGGAGATAAATACGGGAAACTTGAATTTTGCATTCTTTTCAGTCCTCCTTTATTGATAGATGTAAGAAAGATAATGAGAAGTGATCGGATAAAGAGTGGTGAAGGGGATCAAGAAACTCTTGGACACAAACTGCCCACATAAGGCCTGATAGCTGGGCCAAAGCTCAGACAGAATTTATTTTGAGGAACAAGAGAGAACTGATGGTGCTTGCACTTACATGATCCTGGGAATGTCGCTGACTGGCACTGTGCCGTCATGCCCCACAGTCCCATCCTCATCCTCACTGCTCTCAGTGTCCTCACTGGAGGAGGAGTAGTCGGTCAGTTTAAGGGGCGGCCGGTTGATCTCATCTATTCGCAACTCCCTCAGTTCTTTAGCCAACGCAGTCAGATCCTGAAAGACAGAGAAAGATTCATATAAAATACTAGAATAGTAACACTAGTAACTTCAGTAGTGTGACAGTAGCTCAGTCAGTTGTGGATATATAGTGTAGCTTTGACAATATCAAGCTACTTTTGTCAATGTTACATTAATGTAGCTGTGTACACAGTACAAAAAACCAGTAAAGTGTTAGAAAGTCCGTTTTTTTTTTAGTGAATCAATTCATTCTGATAGTTCAAGAAAGATCATTTTTGACTGGTCAACCAATTTATTATAATGAATCGGTTCATTATCACACATTATTTGAGGAAGCAATACATTTTAGTTAATCAGTGAAAAAAAAACATACCAAAATGTATTTTTTTTAAAAATTACACATTTAAAATACTATACATATTTAAAATAATATACATTTATTTTATACTAAGTATACTACAAACTATTTACTGACATATCGCTTGAGACTTACTGATATAAATATTGCAATTTAACTTTATTTTGGAGTACTTCTTAATTGCACAATGCACAAACTTTCTCATAAGACGAGAATGATACAAAACTCACAAATTAAGATACATTCACAATCTCCCCTACAATAAAAAAATATAGCAATATTTATAAAATAAATATAAAATAAACTCTGCAATGATTTCCTGAGTATTTCGGAGCTTTCATGCAAAGGTCATCCATGTTTAGTTTGTATTCGACCTGTAATCCCAGCTCTAGGCCCAACATAAAAATGCCCCCTCGTGAACTTTAGTTGCTATGGAAACAGCAAGGCTCCTAACAAACATCTGGGGTTATTTCCGTTGCGGTGAAGAACCTGAGCCAAGTCGGGGAATGACACACAACCACACAGTCTATTGACAAAGCCACTGGCAATGCGGCTTAGTGAGAAAGCTGAGAGGGTGAAAGAGGACAAGCTTTTCTCAAGTCAGTGTTGCTATTGAGATCAGCAGGCAAGAATTCCCACAGTCCTCTGCCAAGCAACCTTTAGATTGAGAGGGACTGAGAGAAAGACGGATGGGAATGTTACCAACCCTTACAGAGACATTTTTTTCAATATACTAATCATTAGTTTCCTCAAGTCAAAGCCAAAAATGGCTCACAGAGAAACAAACCAGTTTCATAAAAAAAGTAAATAAAAGTAAAACAAATAAAAAACTAAGGTTTGGTACTTCATGCAATTGTAGGAGAGCATGGCACTAGCAACGTCAAGGCCATATGTTTGATTCCCAACTAATAAAATGTATACCTTGAATGTAATGTAAGTAACTTTGGATAAAATGGCCAACCAAAAGCATCAGTATAAATAATTATTAAAGGGATATTCACCCAAAAATGAAAATTCTGTCATTTATTCACCCTCAAGTTGTTCCAAACCCGTATGAATTTCTTTCTTCTGTTGAACACGAAAGATGATATTTTGAAGAATGTCAGTAACCAAACAGTTGATGGGCCCCATTGAAGTAGTTGTAGTTGTTAAGTAGGAAGAACAGTGTAATAACTTATAAAAACATATTTAATATTAAAACAATTGATAGTTATTGCAAGAGAAAGGTAATTGCAAATATCAGATTTTGGCCTAGTGTGTCCAGAGCTTCAGCCAATAATTTTCATTTCAGATATCTCTAATTTAAAAGCTTTGAGCGTTCACAAGTGGAAAACTGGCAAAGATGACAGTCTGAACAATGTAACCACTGGGACATTTGGCCTCCAACTGTAAAATAGAATCTGCGTCTGAAGCTTGTTTAGTCTACAACTGTGTTTGGAGGTCACGATCTACATTTAAAGAGAACTAAAAGCACCCTCAAGGAAATGCTGGATCAAAAAAGAGACAAAGTAGGAAGTTCAAACAGTAGTGTGCATGTAGACAGGAAATTAATTATGCTTGGATAATATTTGAGGGCCGTTGGGATCCAACTTACCGTAGGTCGACTGGGTTTGTTCACCTCTCTGCCCTCCTCCTGACAGGGCTTGGAGGTCTCCTGTAATGCCACTGGAGAACCTTCTGATTTACCAGAGCCTGGAAAACACACATAACAGGACATAAACACATGCTCAAGACTGGAGGTTTAAGAAAAGAAAAAAGTTTAAGAAAAACTCACACTGATTGACCCTTATTCTGATTATTGGGCAGGAAATATACTTCAAGACAACTTGTTCTCAAACAGTGGTATAAAACTTAGATATTGCCATTATTGGAAACAACAATGTACAAAAGGCTCAACAGCTGGCCTGTGATATTCTTTACCTATGAATACACCTACTGGACTGGACCAGAATATCTAAACAACTCAAGTGCACAAAACAGGCAAACAATGTATCCAGAATGTCATACTATACACCCACTTCACTCTCAGGACAAGCGCAGCACTGCACATCTGACATGGTAAACGGAGTGGAACAGGAACAAGAGGATCCTAGCAAAAACAACCAGGATGAAGTCTGAAAGAGTGCCCGCTCCTTCAGTCCACTGGTGGTTGTCCACCCACCCACAATCACTACGATTTAAATAAGCATGTCCAAGCCGTAGTGCAGACGGTAGCGTTCTGCCTCAAGTGATTTTGCAAAAGGCATCAACTATGAAAAAGATAAACCAGCAATAAAGCAGCTCTGCAGGAGACAGTTGTCATCATCCAGCTCAATTCAGTTGAAGTTTTGTTTTCATCCAATAGTGTCAATACTACAGAATCACTGAATATTAAGTGTCTTTTAAACCCCAACTAAGCAAGCCAAAGGCAACAGTGGAAAGGAACCTAAACTCCATAAGGTGTCAGAAATAGAAAGAAAATCTTGAGACTCTATCAGGGGGCACATTCTCCACTGGCCATAACAAATAGTTTCATAACAAAAGGTTTGATCATGTACACCCAGGTTTGAATCTGGCCTGGGTGACGTCCTAAACCTCTCCCCAATTGCCTGTCAGCCTCTACTGTCCGGTAAATAAAAGCTTAAAAAGCATTTATTTTGGATGGTGTTGTAGCAGTGGTTGAGGCTTGAGGCTGCTATCCAGAAGGTTTATAGTTTGATCACTGAAAATCATGAATTAATCACCTGTACTTACTCTCATTAAATACTTTATGAGTGATGTTATTTCCTCAATAAAAAGCAAAAAGAGGAAGACACTCACGTCTTGGCTGGTTCCTCTCACTGGATCCAGGCTGGGAGCCACCCTGAGAGCTGGGTGTGCTGGAGCTGGATGAGCCATTACTGCCGGTTCTTTGCAGAGCCACATCCAGAGACAACTCCGTCCTCCTCAGGTCTGGATTACTAGAGAGATCAGGATACAGTCAGTGCTTGAATACACCAAGACAGAGCAACAGCTCCAGCATGTGATCGGACAGAGCTGACCTTGTGCGGATGAGCTGAGAGGCTGCCCGCCCCCCTCCAACCGACTCCCCGTTCCCCGGAGAGTTCTTCCTCATCAGAGCAGGGGAGATGGAAGTGGTCCGCTGGGGCACCTGGGTAGTACCGCACAACTTTAATCAAACAAACAAATGACCAAACGTCAGAGACGAGGGATCGTAGCATGATTATTACAATCAGTTGCTTTAAAATAATAAATAAATAGAATATGAATATTTTAATAATATAAAATATTTATATATTTTATATTATAAAATATATATTTTTATATATCAAATATATATGGGGGGGGGGGGGGGGTCAGCAAGATTTGTTTTCTTAAATGAATACTTTTATTCAGAAAAGTTGCAATAAATTGATCAAAAGTGAAATTATAAATGTTAAATTTAAAAAGATTTCTATTTCAAATAAAGTCTATTATTTTAAACTTTATATTCAAAGAATCATGAAAAACAATGTATTATGGTTTCCCACAAAAATATTAAGCAGCACAACTGTTTTCAAAATTGATAATGAGAAAAGTTTCTTGAGCAGCTAATCAGCATATTAGAATGATTTCTGAAGGATCATGTGACACTGAAGACTGGAGTAATGATGCTGGAAATTCAGCTTTTCCATCACAGGAATAAATTACATTTTAAAATTATTATTTTTTTAACACTTTAATTTATTTTTTATTAAATAAATGCAGCCGTACAAGCATAAGAGACTTCTTTATGAACATAAAAAAACTGACCCCAAACTTCTTAACGCTTGTGTATTCACCAAAAATATTATCAAAACATTATCTCTTTAGGTGTAAAACCATGAAAAAGGAAAAAGTGCATCAGTGAAGTTTATTATAGGAATAATTAAGGGTGGGACAAAACATCGATAGGGCAATATATTGTTGTCCTTCTCCGTGCGATACGAGCTGGCGCCAAATATCAATATTTTAATTAATAATAATAATATCGATATTTTTTAATTGATAAAATAAGGCACTCTAAATGGATTTCCCTGCTCCAAGCGTGATATCGTGAGCCATGTATCGTGTATCATATCTTGAAGTACCCTGTGACTCCCACCCCTAATCATAATCCTGACCTTAGGAGGAACGTCTTCTTCCCTCAGCCAGGGGGAACTGCGGTCAGGTTTTTCCTCACGACTGGCCATGCGGGGGGCCGGAGGGGGCATCTCTGAAGTTGGGTCTGAGTTCTGCCGTGGCATCTCTAGCCGATGGGACACCAGGCTCTCCTGGAACGCTGAAACGCCCTTGGCTGATTGATCATGCAAGGACTGAGAGACTGACAGAGAAGAGCTATGGGACCTCACTGGAACCAAATGAGCCATCTAAGAGGAGCAAGAAACCATTAAGTGCTTAGTTCAGGATTCTGATACTTTTTCACCAATTATTTTTCATGACCTTTACAGTCATTTGTGATAACTGGATAAGAATATTTTAGAAATTATTATTATTATTTTTAAATCATTTAAAGATTGCTATGTAGATTTCCATGGGTATGTCAGGTACTAATCTTTTGAAAAATAAATTTATTAATACTTATTAATATACAAATGTCACCAATGGACAGACTGACTAATGAGCAAGTTTTATAATAAATAAATTGGGAATGCACAATATTACAATTCTGGCCAATATACCAATAATTATTTTCATATTATCATCACCAAATATCCAATAGTACAATTCTATAATAGTAAAAAAAATACTACAAAGGGGGGGAAAAAAAAAGTTAAATGCTGCAAGTGTATCCAGGCATCCCAACATTATAATGTACAGTATGAAAAAAATGAATCATCATTTTGGAGATTTACTAGAGATTACATCCAACAGTGTTGGTATGAGTGTTTTTAAAGATTAATGAATGTAATCTAAATGTAAAAATAGAGGAAATGAAAATGAACAATTAATAAATAAATGATATAGTCCTGATATACTGTGCATCCCTATTGAAAATGAGTGCTTTAAATAAAAAAAGGCTAAATGTTGTTGTACCTGAGGCTCCACGGGGCGGTGTACAGGAGGGGTCCGTGCCGGCTGCATACCCCCACTGCTGAAGGACTCAGAGCGTGGTGGAAGGGAAGGGTCAGAAATACGGTTAGCCACTTTATGCTGCAGGGCAGGAGAGCTCTGGCGGTTCAGTTTGGAGCGCTCCTCAACCTTCATGAATAATAAAAAGCCATATAAGAACAGGCCACACCGTTTGTCCCCGCCACCACCAACAAACAAGAAAAAACTAGCAAGACCCTGAAAAATGCCTCAGAAATTACATACTTGGGAAATGCACACGCCAATATTACTTAAATTAAACAGTAGAAACTATCACACCATCTGAAAGAGAAAAGCAATCTATTCAGCTAGAAGCTGAATTAGCCGTTGCATGTTGATCGGGTCATCCATACAACAATCAGTTAGAGCAGACCAGCACCTTCTATAAGCAGAGAGACTGATCTTTGAGAGGTGAAGGAAAATACTTCAACTAAGTTTAATGGGCAAAGAATCTGCTTTGGCAATAGAAAACCCAGCTACACTGTATGAGACACTGCTTGACCACTAAATGAAAAAAAATCAGTTCTTATCTAATTTCTAAGAAAGTCAACATGGTAATCATTAACATTTAATTTAAACCGTATCTGTATTCATGAGATGTGGAATGTGTCTAAGTCTGAATATGTGAAGTCTTTCAGTGTCTCAAGTTGAGGGCTTTCCCGTTTGCACCAACAGATCCTTTCAAAGAACTAGACAGACATTGGTTAACCATCTTAGTGTCTCAGAAATGCAGATTCCTATTGAGGAAGAAGCTTGTCAAATTCAAAAAGAAAGAAGTGGTTAGTGTGGAGACGAATGGCAGCTTGCTCAGAGATATTATTACACTATGTCAAGAGTCATAATTCAGGCTAATTAAAAGGCAATCAAAATAGCAACTAAAAGATCCATCATATGTTGTTTAAAAGCACTGGCTACATTGGTTAAGATAGTTTTGCTTGTATTGTTAATCTAACAGTGTCCCCTAATCGGGCGCAATGCAACAAGACATTTGTATGTTCTCAATGAACAAGAAACTACTGCGGGATTGACAATCACAGCCAACAAGAGGATATTTGATTTTCAAATGTATAGTAAAGTGCTGCAGGAATGAGCTGTGTGCCTAGAAACATTTCATTTTGAGCTCAATTTGTCAGAGCACTTAAAAACGGCCAGAAAAGGGTGCTCATATGGTCTTAAAATGGCTGATTATGCAGTATTCAGATTAAATGTACTTCTAGGTTGGCATATAAAATGACATCCCTGCAGCAATCTGTTATGTGAACTGGGAATATGGACCAATTCGATTTTGCAGTGGGCAGGGCTACCCAGCGCAATGCCACAGAAATAAAAACTAAGCGATCGACAGAATGTCCTGTTGCTCTGCGCTTGACGTGGCTGGCTAGGATATGGTATGGAGAAACTTGTGGAACTCGTTCAGATTTTTTTTGCAGTACTACTGTAAATCTGAATACTTCCCAATATACAAAATACAATGGATGTTTTTCAGGCTAAATATTAAACCATTCATTTTTAACCTCTCTCAAAGGTTGTTTGATTTATACGATTAGCAGAGTTCCCCACATGCCACCTTGCAAGAGAAAAAGAGGAGCTCCATCACCAACGGTCAACGCACCCAGAGGCACCCAGCGATGGACTGCACTGACTGCTAAAGCTTACACAAACACAGAGGCCATCCAGGAGGGGTGGTGGGCCATCTGATGGGGCTCAGAATCAGGACCGGGGTCAAACAAATGACAGAGGGGCTTTCATGATGTCGCTGATGAGTAAGAGCCAGTAAGATGGAAATGGAAGGGGCTTATGACATGTGGAGTACTGACTGAATGACTGGTTAACATGTTTGTTTAATTGGGGAGTTGTATAATTTACGTATATCGATTTTGGAATAGCATTCAGTAACTAAAACATTGTGCCAGTATGTTCCATTTTATTTTGAGGATTAAGAGAGCAAATCAATACAGTTCAAGAAAAGCTATTTACATCTATTTACAATGATCGCAAACTCCCTTAATTGACGGGGGACTCGATCGTCATCACGTTGAATGAAAACGGGGAGTCTACAGGGGATAAATTAGGGCTGATCGAGGATGAGCGGCTGATAACGTTAACTGCGGATGAGTGGCGTCTACGGCCATCTGGGGATGGCGACCTAGAGGACACTGGGCTTTCTCTGGGTGTGTTTCTAGGGGAGAGCCCCATCCAGCGCAAAACAGAACTAAGTGGCTGAGCCTTTTTAGGCGACTTATGGGGCTTGCGGTGCACATTAAAATAGCCCTCACGTTCAAAAGAATTGGAGCGCCAGATGGGCTGTTTACATCTCAGCCTGAGCAGCTCCTTTGAAGTCAGGTCCTGAGCAGAGGAGGAGCGAATGATGTCAACCGATTTATCTGAAGGGAATGTTGCGAGGGGCACGGCCCACTCCCATTTTGGTACCATCAGGAGGTTCTTGGCTAGCATAGAGTTTGAACGCTTGCTTTTAACCATCATATCTCTAAGGGAGTGTTCTGGGGCTGACTGGGACAGAAAGTCATCCTCATTGGTGATCAGACACTTTTGGTTAACAGCGATTTGCGGGACCAGCTCTCCACCTACATCTAGTCTATGGCAATGTACGAACTTCAATTTTGAGGGTGAGGCCAGGTCTTCTGAACTAACCACTTTAGTGACCGCTGGGTTGGGCTTGCGATCGTGGACCTTCTCCCCGGCCTTCTGGCAGGCCCTAAGCTGGCGCACCTGCTGGCTAATGTTCTCTCGACTCTCTTGCTGGCCTGAGACATGGATGATTGGCTGCTTCTGGTGGAGTAAATGCTGTGAGATCTGTTCACTAATAGGGAGAATCAGTTTAGTGGGGGCTGAGGGGGTCCATTGGGTGGGGTGCTGCTGACAGGAAGGGGATGAGGAAGGCTTGTGGTTGATGGGTCGGGTCTTTTTTAGGGGCCGGCCATGGACCTGAAACAGTGAGTCAAGAGTTTTTTTGTTAAACACAGTTAATAAAAAAAATATAAAAAAAACAACAGCTGGGCCAAGCACACACTACAAGACTGAAGCTCATATCGCTTTCACGCTGAAGTCTTACAAGTCTCAGATCAGCAACTTGCAATGTGTTGCCAAAGATGTTCAAGTGTGAGTCATTGTGAGTTGCACTAAGAGTCGTAACAGATGTAATGTTGAATTTCAAACTGGCTAGACACGTCTCTCCTTCCATGTTTTTAAGAATTAAGTCTCGTGTTAAAAGTGCATTCAGTAATTGTTTAGCTAGGTATAACTTCACAATTCTTCGTATACTTTAAATACCAGTGGTGTTAGATACTGCACTGACACCTATCAATGTGGATCAGCATGACTGTCTCTGAGTTTTATGCAACTTACACTGATACTAGTGAGTTTTATAGAGTAGTCTAAACAACTCACTCACAAATTCACTTACCTGTCCAACAAACAAAAAGACCACTCAGGATTTTCCACATTGAGGACCCTTACTGATGTCGGCATACAATTTTTTGTCTATGTTGGTCTGTCTTCAGACCGTTTTCATTTCACTTCGGCAACCGAAGAGCGTGATTTTCTTCCAAGTTCAGTCAAACAGCACGGATCACGTTATTTCAACATGACAAAATATAATGAGGGGGTGACTCGCACCATACAAAATTAAACACTTTTTATTGACAACTATTATGACTACAGTCTTCATCTCAGCACACTTCACAAAAACAATTAATTTATTGTTTAAAACCTTTAAAAATTGGCACCAAACTACTGAATGTGCCTTTAATTTTACATTTATGCATTTAGCAGACGCTTTTATCCAAAACGACTTACAAAATAGGAACAAAACATTCATCAAAAGAGCCAATAATCATTGTAGTACACAATGCCAGATTTATTAGACAACTACTTTAGGAAACTAGGAAAGAAATGCAGAGGAGATTTTTTTATTTGAGTGTGTGTGCACGCATGTGTGTGCATGCACAATGACTTTAATATGCGTGTACGCTTGTGTGAAAACACATTTTGAGCTCTGCGATTACCAGTTTGTGCAACAACCTTCTGTCTTGTAGTGTGTGCTTGGCCTAGGAAAGCCAAGACAAAATCAGAACGCTGTGACGACTGTAGATCAAAAGAGTCCAGATTACATCACAAAGACATTAAATCGTATTTCCTTCAGTTATATATAATGTTCTAAAAAGACTGAAGACTGTGCTGGCCATTTTGCTGATAATCTAGGATAAATCAAGAGAGTTAATCTGTCCAGTTTCATTTTGCTGAATCAGCATCAGTGGTCTTAGACTCAGTAAAAGTTTCCAGGCTGCTGACCCTGAAAAGTGTGCTGGAAAACATTTCTGCAGTGCAACACAGTTTCCTAACCAGGCACAATGCGTTTCCAGTGACAAGCAATTTGTTTGTCTGCACAGTACGTGAAGCAGTGTGTGACATGAAGTCAATAAGAAGATATTTGCTGTTTAATGCACAGTTATTAAGAGCAGGATTTTGGACCAATCAGATTTCATTGAGGGCGGTGCTAGAGAGTATGCAACTCACTGGTACTTGTTGCTTGTCATGGTCACAGCTGGTTAGGACAAAAACTAAGATTTGCATACAAGAACTTAAATTGCATCATCCCTGGAGTAACACAGCACTGCGATGCTGGAAAAAGGACAAATTCAGTCTAATTTCAGGTTTTCCCACCTCTTTGGCCCAGTTAGGTTTGTCGCTGGGGTTAACGGCATCTTTGTAGTGGTAAAGTGGCTTCTTCTCTGCAGGTCTGGAGTCTTGTTGCTGTTGTTGGAGAGAGACAAGGTAAGCCCTCTCCTGATGGAGCTGTCTTTGCAATCTCTCTGCCTGTCTCTGTTCCTCAAGCTGTTTACGTTTATACTCCTGAAGACACAGAGAGAGAGGATCACAGTTTAAATAACTGTGTGATATCACAAAGAGCTTTGCAATAAATGATTCAAACAAGCACAATGATCAAACACTGGCACACAAACACACAAAAACATGCGCATGCTGGATCATTTAAGAGGTATACGTTGCTCAAGACAAATGGGAGCACACAAAATCCAGGTGAACCGCCATTCAATGCCAGGCATATGTTCTGCCTTGATGGCAGAGATCTGGGATGGTGTGAGATCAGCTACAGATGAAAAAAAAAGGTTTCAAGTATCCTCTAGACTCCTCTAAAAAGTTACATCTGAAGCCATATACCAGAGCTACCTTGAACAAAGTCCTCTGTGCAGTTTTGCAGTCTTTTATCAGTCTCTTTTCTCCTCGGTCTACCTAGTGGCTTCAATGAAAAGCAAGTTTTATTGCATCTTTCTGGCCTCCTCTACACTTCAAAACTCCCATGAGAGCAGAGAAAGAAGGGAAGACTTGCTCTGGTCTACACCTTTCCTGGTTTCACATAAAATACATCAAAGCATGGGATTTCACAGGAACAAATGTTTTAATTTGCTATGGATAAAAAAACTCTGCTGTCATTTGCCCATTAACTTGATAAATCATTTGCACACAATACACAAATAACAGCTTGTTTTTTGTGCGTCTGTTGGGACAGTACAACAGTTATAGCAATAAAAAGGACTTCCAGCATTAATGTGTAGATTAAAATGTCATCACAAATACACAATGTATCGTACATAAATACGTTAACAACATTACAATTAATCTCTATTTAACTGATGCATGTATGAACATATACTGTGTGAACAGTGGCACAGTAGTGACACGGGTGGCTTCTCCAACAATGATTTTCCGGAACTTTTGGCCAATGGAATGGATAAGATTGTTGTTCTTGTTCTTCTAAAACCCGTTATTTCTCACATATTACAGGCACAAACAAATACAAAACAAAAATGACAATTCAATAATTTCAATACATCAATGCAAAATAAAACATAATTGTGATTCTGCAAGCACAAAAGGAATAAACAAACAAGATATATCTGGGTCAGCGCAGCGGCGGGTCAGGGGAGAGGAGGGACAGGGTTTAGGGCTACAGCAAGGCGAGTGTCTTCTCTGTTACCAGTAGGAGCGCCTGCTCTTGCAAGAGCTGTTGCTGGAGGATCTCGAGCTGTCTCTGTTCCTCCTCCAACTGACGACGGATATACTCCTACAGACCCGCCACGACGCAAGAGACAGAAAGACAGGAAAACACAGAAGACTGAGTTTATCACAGTTTCTACAGGATTCAGAATGAAAGTGTGACAGTGGAATATCACATAAGATGATAAAGAAGTGTGAGATGAAAAGAACAACAGAATGACAGATAGCTAGCCATAAAGACATATTAATCTAAACAACAGACACTTGTCCTGCGTCCAAATACGCCTACTTCCAAAAAGCAGTGGTATGTCCGAATTCATAGTATTCATAAAAACCGAATTCATAGTATTCGATATTCGGAAGTGCGCATCCAATGGACACTTTATTGTCCCATGAGACCACGGGTAGGTCACATGACGAATGTAGTGCATCCGAATTTCATTCTCACTACACACATTCATACTAAATAGAACACGCCTTTCTAACGGCCGAGAAGAAAGTTTCGCACTAAATGTAGTACCTACAGTATGCGTAGCTAGAACCATAGAACAACAGAGGGATAAAATGACAGCTAGCTAGCTAGATCCATAGATAGAACAATAGCTAGCTAGAGAAACCATAGATAGAAAAAAATGATAGCTAGCTAGGTTAAATGATAGCTAGATAAAACCTTAGCTAAAATGATTACTTGATAGCTAGCTAGACCATAGATAGAAAAACGATAACTGGTAGGCTACAATTGCTAGAATGGTAGCTAGAATGATAGAACGATAGTTAATTTCTTAGCCAGAAAAGAAGATGTGTGGATAAATATGAAGTGAAATATCAGGTACACAATTTGATGACATTTCTTTTGATGAAGGGAGGGTGTGAATGTGTGGAGAGGGAAAGAAAGAGCCCACTGGGAGTTCGTACATCAGCACACCTGAAGCAGTGTACCAGAGAGGACAAAAATAGGTGGGAGAGAACACTGATAGTGAGAGCAGACAGAGGGGAGTGTAATCGCCATGTCCTCAAGAGCAACTGTGAGATGATGATGATGATGATGATGGAAAAACCTTTTTAGCGTGAGCAGTGTGTGAGTGAGCGTGCGGGTCAGAGCTCTGGAAAACAGCGGGCATTAACAGAGCCATTCTTAGAAACATAGACAACTCAGCAAGGTAATTAACCTCACCCACACAAATGAAAAGAACTAAGATATTCTCATCCATTTATCAAGTCAGTGACTCAGCCATCCCTTCATACATCATGAGATGTGGGGGGGAATGGTTCAAGGTCACACACACACAATCCCAGTTAAGGGTGTTAGATGGTCAATCAACTTGGAGCAGATAAAGAGAAAAGCTGTGCTCTCATTTCCTGTGTCTTATCTGGCTCTCCGCAGAACCTTTTCGTTACGGAGCCATTCACAGGGTTACTTTAACAATTAACTTTCATTAATTGAGTGTGTAGTTGGTTTCCAGCTGTATAATCGGAGCAGTGCAGTGGGAAACGGCTTGAGTACCTGCTCCCTTTCGGCCTGTCTCCTCTCCTCCTCTCGACGGGCCTGCTCCTCAAAGCGATGCCTGTCTCTGTCTTGCTGCTTTCTGAGCTCACGCTCACGCCGCTGTTGCTGTAAGACACACACATACATAATATAAGAAGCTGAAAAACAGCATTTTCCCTTCTATGCCCTCTGTTTTAATGTGTAGTGAGGCTCTAGTAAAACTCAATTGGAGTGTGTCATTTGTTAATGTGTGATACTATTGGGATATTAAATTGCCAATTCAGCCAGACCAGCTGATGCCCTTCATTATCCACACCAGTAAATTAGAGCTAGGTGACACAGCCAAAAAAACAAACAAAAAACAAACAAACAATATTTTAAAATTTAATATACATTTCAATATTTGTGTGTTTGCTCCAAAATGTCTTAAAAGAAATAGATCCTCCAATCAGAGGAGCCATCATTTCAACCAAAAATAAATAAAAATAATTAAAAGGCAGAGCAAAATAAGATAAATTCTATAAATGAAATGACTATAACATAAGTTTTCGCAAAACTGTTTTTAATTAATCTAACACAAGAAAGTAAAATGATGGTCAATTTTAATTTATAAGCACAGATACATTGAATTTACTTTCATATGTATTACTAAAATATTTAAAATGTAAAATTCCCAATGAGGAATACTGTGAACAAATTAGAGCAATAATGCAGTGCATAGTTTAAGCAATTCATTGAAATGGAAAAGAACAGGCTTCACAGAAAACTAGCTTATCATTAGAATGTTGCGTTTCCTGCTTCCCATAATGCATCAGTTCCTTAACTCCTCTGGCCTCAAGCTACTCTGAGCCTGGTGTTAAAAACAGCACTTGTAGGAGTGTAATGCTGGTCTGTGTTTTTGTGTGAATATCAGATAATCTGGATGTTCTCCATTTAAATAGATATCTTACATCACTGAGCAGGTCTAAGTAAGTAAATGCCGAGAGGCTCAGTCGTGGATTTATAATATGAAAAGTGCCATTCATATGAGCTCAGAGCAGCTAAAGTTTTTTAACCTATAATGAGTCCTGTACCATGAGACAACAGCTGGTGTAAAACCAGACGGTTATGGTAAACTCAAGTTTGTCTTACACACACTATAAGCATACCTCTTCTAGCCTGCGCCTCTGTTCCTTTTGTTCCTCGATGCGTTTCTGTCTCTCTGCCAGTAATTGGTGCTTGTGTCCTTCGTTCTGCTGTTGTTCCAGCTGCTGTCTGCGCAGGGCATCTGATCGTTCCTTATTGGCCACCTGCAGGCGTAGGAAATCCCGCCTTAGAGTGGACTCTCCTGGTATGTTGATGATGGAGCTGTATGGGGACGGATCATTGGAAGTTTCGATTAGTTTTGTCCCATATATACAATGTATACAAACATCCAGTTCCCTCATAATTGTATGCCCACTAGAAAACCCAACCCAAAACACCTCATGGAGGTTGTACCTGGGTTCTCCCATGTCATGCTCCTCCTCCTCCTCTTCACTCCCACTGTACTCGTACTCAGTCTCATCTGCGGGTGTGAAAATGTCCTGCAGTCACATTTCAGACATGCAAAGCCCTCCCTAATGGGATCCCTATCAGGTACCTTGACATTCTGTGTCCTTAAAGCATCTGTCTGCTTTAAAAAGGCCAATATTCTATGATTTTGTAGCTTTTCCCTGAGGTGCACTTGTGAGGTTTAAGGTTTCTAGCACCAGTCACAAACAGAATTTAGTTTACAATACCTTTGAGAAAAACAGTATTTAACAGAATATCTGACAAGTGGTATTTATAGCAAGACGTATAACAATCCGCAAATAGAACTTTGTTAGGTTTCAGATTACTAAAAATAACACTTTCTTGGTTGCCTCTCAATTTTGCAAAAATAAATAAAATAATTGTTTAATATAGTTGGCTTCATATTTTGTTTCTAAAACGAAATGTAAGCATATTAACCATCCAAAATTGTCTAAATGTGTTTTGGGGCCCATGTATGGTCTGTAAGACTTTTTAATGTTTTTGAAACAAGTCTCTTAAGTATTTATTTGGACTAATATTGTTTATAAACACTAATATTATTATATGAAAATATGAAATATTATTACGATTTAAAATAACTGTTTTCTATTTTTAATATATCTCGAAATGTATTTTATTCCTGTGATAAAGCTGAATTTTCAGCATCATTACTCCAATCTTCAGTGTCACATGATCCTTCAGAAATCATTATAATATGCCGATTTGCTGCTCAAACATGTTATAAACAGTTGTGCTGCTTAATAATTTTGTGGAAACTGTTACATTTCTTTCAGGATTCTTTGATGAATAGAAAGTTACAAAAAAACTGCATTTGTTTGAAATAAAAATATATTTTTAAACATTATAATTCTCTTTACTGTCAGTTTTGCTCAGTTTAATTCATGGATAAAATAATTAATTTCTTTAAAATGTATATCATTTTTTACACTTAACTCTAATCTACTAACATGCCCTAACATGCTACAACATATAAACTAACATCATTTATAACAGCACACTATAATATTTTGAGACAAAGTCAAAATGGCCATTTGGAGAAGGGCAATATTGCTAAACTCATTCTATAACTTCAAGCAGCAATTTAAGGGGGAAAAGGCAAGCTAAATGGAAAATGAGGAATGGAGGTCATGTGTTATGTGATAAATGCTAAATGTCAAACTCAGCAGAGATAAAGTGTCTGATGAGGGAATTTTACTCAGCTCTGTGCTGCACATGCCTGTTTCCATCTTCATGGTACAAGAAGGTCATTTGTTTTGACATGAGTAGCACACAAAGCGAGACATGTCTAATATATCTGATAAGGCTCACCTCTCTCGCCTCTCTTCTTCTTGGTTCGGTCGATGTGGTCCTTGAGCTGGATGCGGATTTGCCTCTCATTGGGCAGTTCTCGAATGAAGGCATGTTTGATGAGGTTCTCTGTGCTGGGCCTCTGGTTGTGGTTCTTCACCAGACAGCTCTCAATGAATGACTGGAACTTTTTAGACCTGCAGATATGAGAAAGAGCTTGAGGGGACAGCTGCAGGCTTATCTTCTTTGTATTTTTGTCTCCTTGTTTTGTCTATCAAGCATCTGGTAAGAACAACCGATGTGGGCGTGCATTTCCAGGCAGTTTGTTCACACGTTTAGGAATCAAGTAATATCAGTTGCAGACTCGCAGTTAACGAACAAAAACCTGTATGTCTACTCTAGAGTGACAAGCAACCTTTCTCAAGGTGTTTGTGCTTGAATAGGCTGACATACCAAATGAAGATCACACGACAGATGAAGTGAAAAATGATCTTCATTTGATTTTTGGATGATTTCATTGGACTTTTTTATTAATAGAAGATTAGTAAAACTCAGTGTTTATGAGATCTTGATTGGTCTCGCAGAAGCTTTGGACTGGGGGTCTGTTCTTGTGACCTTTGTGGAAAAAAAAGAAAAAGGGCACTCACCACTTCTTGGACTTGAGCCTGGGAGCCGGGTTTCTAGGGATCAGAAACAGGGCTCTCATTGGGTGCATGTCACAAAGGGCTGTGGAGAAAGAAAGGAGAACGTTAACACTGGATGTGTTGTGCTGACTAACACTGTCCAGCACATCTCAAACTAACTGACAGAACAAATATCCATGAGAGTTTGTTTATATGCTGTAATGTACTCTTTAAAGCTAAAACAGAAAAGTAGAATGCAGATTTCGGTTTATTACTCTCTCTTAAAAACTCAATTTTCATCATTCTTGTGAAGTCCAACAGCTAGCTTTCAACAAATCAACAAAATACGAAGCTAATATCAACTCTGGAATAGGATTGTGTGGCTTGAATAAACAGATGCCAAGTATCAGACTACTTGGCAAGTGCAAGCAACTTCCCAGCACAGAATGGTCACAGTTTGAGGGTACAATGTCTTTCAGCCTGGCAGCAGGGTTGGCAAGCTGATTCCAAACTAGAGGACGGTCGAGCTTAGCGAGTTTGACCAGCAATGTCACTTTTGGACACAGATCTGTTGCTACATACCGAGGGCCAATATGCCAGTGCCAACAAAAATACATGCACAAATACACACATTTTCATTTGTTGTCAGCAGTCACAAAGGTGAGTCATCTCACCAATGGACTACATATAAAAAAAAAAAAATTAAAAAAAAAAAAGGCAGATCTGTCCTCAAATGCACTACCCAGCATCTTTCTGTCCCCTGGCCATAGGAGTACCACCCTGCCAGGGCACCTTCCTACAGGATTATTCCCCTCTCCAGCCAGGACAAGATCACTACAGTCTGCCTGCCCTTTGCCTATCCATCACTGCTCAGCCATCTGTGAGACAGCCTTCCACTGAGAGCAGCTCACGTGGCTGGTCCAGACACTGACCGCTGAGGCCGGAGCGAAGAACGAGTCTTATATATCTAACAGATGCAAGGAAGACGTCTGTGACCTTCACATATGCTTCAACCAATGCCATAATGCAACGATTCAACACACAGTCTGTTTTTTGTTGATATGCGTTGGCTTGCGTCCATCAAGTTTTAAATTAAAATAAAGTATTTTTAAGTATTTAATTCAGTGTTTGCATTGCTTCAGGGTTATTTAATAAAAGGTCATTTATTTTGATGAATTTCTACAAAAATTAAGAGAGTGGGGATTCTGCTTTTATGCCCTTGCGCTTTGCAAAATGAAGTAGCTCTGTCTTAAAGTAAGCTTTAAACCCGAAACGTTTTACTTACGTGGGGCTCCTTCAGCCATTTCAATGGCTGTGATTCCCAACGACCACAGGTCACTCTGAAACACAAGAGAGGGAGGAAACTTCACATAAGACAGGACACAAAAAAACTCAAGACTTCATAGAAAAAAGCATAGAGATATTAGATAACATACAATTAACCTAGTAAAAAAATTGCTAGATTTAAATTAATCTGTATGCCAACGGTGTAAATTTGGTCTGTCCCATGTCATCTTGACTGTAATCATTCAACTGGTTTTTATATAACAATTTTTTTAAATTTTCAAATTCATATATGGGGGGGGGGGGGGGGGGGGAATCATTGTAGCATTTTAAAAGACCAAAAACATAGTATTTAGATTACAAGTGAAACACAATACAAAGATAATACAAAAGACCAAGAAACAAAATATTAGGGATGTACCGATACCACTTTTTCACTTCCGATACCGCAGCTTTGGCTATTTGTTATCAATCCGATATTTTTATTTTATTCTTGAACTAATACTAATAATAATAAAATATATGGAAGCACTTTGCTCAATTAGCCACCTAAAAACATCTCACTCAAATGGAGAACAAATACTTCTCCAGTATATAGTCCACAACAACAGTTGATTATGAAAGACTGCCACTCTTTATTCAAACACTACAAAAAAAAAAAAACACACACAGGTACTTCAGTACTTAAAGCTACCAACAGGTTTAAAGTTAATCATTAACGAGCTTTAAAATTACCCATTGGTCCGTGTACTTTTGCGTCCATTCGTTTTTCCTTTTTTAACCCGTAATTGAAAAACGAAATATGAATGGTTGTTGTATTTTTAAAACGCAAAGTTGAACACCAAAATTTTAACTGTAGGCACACCAAATGCTGCGCAAAAAAAATTAATAGACGTATTGTCAGATTTTTGTTTATGACATTTTGCCCTTTATTAAACATTTAAAAATCTCGATTTTACTGGTTTAAGGCCAAACCCGGAAATGATATTTTTCCAGCAGTGCTGAATGAGAAGATCCATGTCTCTGGAACCATACAGAGAGGTGATTTAGGCTATAGGTGATTTATAGGCTAATGATAATAAATGTGTCTGAAAAAATAACGATGAATTTTAATTGTTTATTAATAAACTAGTGTTTTCTAAATCAGTGTCGGCTGGAAACATATCTCACAGATAATATTTTCTTTTTATTTTAATATCTCAAAGCTATATTTTCCCATGGTTTGTGTTGGATAGGTATCAGATCATATTTTTTTCTCCCCTCCGATCTCCGATCTAGCGTTCCGACTTGTCAAAACAGGTCTTAAAATTACTTTGAACCTCAACACCCTCATCTACAGGAAACATCTCATCAGTTTGATTAAGGGTGTTGACAACCACCACAACCACACCAATGTTGCTCAAACAGCTCATACATTTACATTAGAGGTCCTAAACGTGAACAACCTCAACTGAAGCAAAAAGCCATGAGAGCTTGAGCGGTACTGTATTACCACCATTAAGGGTGTTGTTCGACGCAACCAGTTGTTCGACTTAACCAGTCAAAGGAAGTGTCACAAATTTTGTTTACCTTTATGAGGGCTTTTTTTTCCTAATCATATAAATCACACAGCATGTCAGGCCATCAAGTCTCAGTTTGGATCATTACAGCTGTTACAAAATAAATGCACAAGACATAACACAAAACAGTCTGCTAAAATACACTGCAATAATGTTCTGGTCCTTATGTTAGATTATGCAGCTCTACAACTTCACGGTAGTTGTTAACGTAATTTCAGTTACACATTTTCTTCACATTAAACTGATATTTATATTAACTCCACATTCCACACTCGGCTTTGAGTAAATATAGAACAAATCAGACAGCCATTGTGTTGGGGGAGGCTCTACTAAACTCACAAGATATTTCTAATAAAATGCTATAAAATCTATTTTTAAACGAGACATTTTTGCCCACTGCACTGGTTAATTCCTGACCCCGTTCACATATGTAAATAATAAATATATCAGCTATTAATGACTAATTAATCCAGGCAAAGGATGAGATATGACTAAAGTATTGATAGTTTATTTTAGAATATTAAAGATTCCCTTCTTTATTGTTTTTTCTCTACAGACAAGTGCCACCTTTAGTTTCTCTTCTATGGAAGTCTGGCTGCCTGTCAGTTTCTCTGGAACTGTAATTAGTAAAGTGTACAGTACAAACAGTACGGTGCATTCTATGGCAACCTGTTGAATGATTTGCCCACATCACGTGTATTTAAAAACAAATGTGAGAAACTTTCTCTAAGACTTCACTCTTCTATCGGAGACAGACAGACACAAGTCACCTTTATTTATATAGCGCTTTTTTTTTTTTACAATACAGATTGTATTTTTTTGTACAATACAGACACACTGCTGTAAATTTCTTATCCAAAGCACCTGCCATGAACAGGAACATCACATTTCTGAACTTAATACAGTTCAGACTTTTATCAGTGGTGCTGAGCATCAAGTCTCTGATATGTCTGCAATTTGATATAACATTATAAATGCAAAGCAGCAGTGAGTAAAACCACTGCACACAGATGACATTTCATACTCCAATAAAATCACTTTCTTACTTTACATTTGTCTGAGCTAAATGCTTCATCAACTAAATGATGACCTCTTAAACATGCATTGACATGGACTTAAGCATAATGCTAGAAAGAAACAGGCCAATATTTCTCTGGACAGGGAAGGGGAGGAACGTTTGCTTATCCTATTACTGTGACATTATCAACACTGCCAGCCGTGGCACGGATCACTGTATTAGCCTGAGTGATGCGTGGATAATGGTGACTAAATTGTATCCAAGGAGAGTTTATTTGATTTTGATTGCATATGCTCACATGTGCATTGAGTAAATTGAGGACCCGTGATCAATACTCTCCTACTGGCCAAATCACTGCAGACCAATTCGAAATAACAGCGCTCTGTTGTTTTGTTGTTATAGAGCAGCATCACCATCAGCAGCGGCACGGCCACGTCCAAAAAGCATTTACCGTATGTGTGTTTTCTCACGATGTGAGACACTTGACTATCACTTCAAGAAGACCATGGCATGTAGTATATCATATGATACAGATTATACATGTCTGAGAGAGGAAAGCTTACCTTATAGTCATATGTGGCCTCAGGATTCTCATCACAAGCAATGACCTCTGGTGCCATCCAATAAGGGGTGCCAATGAAAGTGTTCCTGCGGCTCACGGTGCGGTCCAGCTGTGCACTCACACCGAAGTCCACTGGGGTTCAGATGAAATGGAGAGAGATGAAACAGAAAGAGAGGAAACCAGTCTGATCAGTGTTCTAACCAGGTGTTAAAAACCATCTTTGTTGACAAGTGAAAGGACATCTTGTCAGTCACCGCGGGTTTCTATTTCTGCAGTGTCAAAGTGCGGTCACATCGTGGAGTTTAGCAGGAGAGGAAAAAAAAGTCCCCCATGCAGATTTCGCTCGTGTTGACCAACAAAAATTGACTTTGTCATTCCATGTCAAATTAACCAAATTTCAGAAACTTCCCGGCTCAAATTTTTGATTTTGTTATCTTTTCTGAAGAAAGACAAACATAAATAGTGATGAAAGCCAAAATTCTAAATGCAATGGCTGTATATTTACTGAGTAATCCACGATTTTGTAAAATGACAATTTTCACATGAGATTTGGAGCCAAATTACAGGGGGGTAAAAATTACTTTAAAAAGATAAGATACATTTCTAGTTTCAGTATCATTTGTTCTTCAGACATTCCCTTTAGGCAAGTATCAGCTGTATGAAAAGTGACCAACATTTGGTTTCTGACCACTAAAAATGTGTCTCCATATCTCTGGGATTGAATTATATAGGGCTTAAAGCTGCAGTCCGTATCTTTTCCTCTTTGTCGCCATCTCTCTGTTCGAAATCTGTAACTGTAGTGATTCGCGGAATTATTATATTTACGTGGGTTGTAAATCGGCATGAAACAGCGCGGATGAACACAGTGTTTTGAGGCGAGTGCTGCTGTCAGTCACCGCGCTGTGTGGATACTGTCATACAGAATCACAGATTCACTTTTTGAAAGTTTGACCAACATAAGAATTTTCATAAGAAAATGTCTTCTGAACAAGTAAAATCCATTTTTGTTCTGACCAACTAAGGGGGAAAAAGCATTCGACATGATAAGCTTCGTTAGATTTAATCAACGCGATTTACAGCAACCGTGCAAATTATAGCCTACTTTGTTCTCAAATTGTTCATGTTAACAACATCAGCATTGCGTGACTAATGTTAAATTTAATGTGTTTTATGGTTAGCAGCTACCTGCGTAGTTCAGAATTCATATTCTCCATAATAGCAAAACGAGAAAGGCACAACAAAGGAAACTCCATAACTGTGTGAATTAAGAAAACGTACTGTTACACGATTGAACTATTGAAATGTCTTACTTGTTCAGCAGAAAAAAGCCGTCTCTTCTTCCGTTTTGAACCCCTTCAAAATACGGAGTTCACGCACTTTTCAAAAGCCCCGCCGATGTTTAAATCCTTGTGTTCGCATGAGACGGTTTCTTTCTCTTTCTCTAGCCACCTTAAATCCAAAGTACGAAGTCTTTTGGGTTTTTTAACTGCTGAATCTCCAGTTGACACTGATGATTGTTGTTTGGATCTTTCTGGATGCCATAAGTTTAATTATGTAAAGTGCTGCGAGAAAAGCCTATACATCTAAACATCTCGTCACGCGCAGTATAGCCGGCTAGCCGAAACTCCTTCTTTATGTGTACGGGTGTGACGTCATGACGCAAAGACATGCTCGAATTTCCCGCGGAAAACCCACCAGTACCACTGGAATTAAAATCATTATTACAAGCTAACCGTTTTGAATCGAGCTAAGGCAAGCAGATAGTTTTGACCACTGGCAGAATAAGTTTTTTTTTTAATATAATTATTTTGGATTATTTTTAACTTAAAAAAGTTACGGACTGGAGCTTTAAGATAACAAAATAAAGGTTTGCTAAGAGAACCAGAATCTAAAAGGGCATTTATATATCTTTAATACTTCTTGAGTTACAGGCATAAAAACTTGGGACAAAAAACACAAGTGCTTTTTCCCAGTCTTTTATGTACCAGAAAAAAAAAAAGTTATCCAAATCAAAATTTTTAGCCGGGGACTTTTGGTTAAGTTGACACGGAATGACACTTCTGTGTAAGCAGTTCTTCATGCATCACAACACTGTTGGCCACAAAATTTTGTTTTGTTCTCTGTGAATTTCGCCAAAATTTCTATAATGTGATCACACCTTTATGCTGCTGAGTAGCCCATGCCCAAAGTGGAACCCCACTGGTCCAAAACTGTACATTAAACTTCAAACACGTTTGACTGGCTGTGATTGCATGGCGATGCAGTTTCACACCCAGTGTAGAGACCAATTGCTTGTCGCTTGAAACTTAAAATGCTTACACAATGTGCTATAGGGCAAAGGGCCACAGGCGCCGCAGCTTTGATTAGTGCCAAACATGCTGTCAAGATAGATGACTTCCTGTAAAGTACTGGCTTACATAAGATGCTAGTTTAACTAGGTATGCTAAACTGAACCAATATATGCAAATGCCTGTGCTTTCAGGTAATTGCCCTCTCCTCACATTGCAAATGAAGATGTAATGAGATAAAAGCAAATGTACTCAGGGCAGAGAGAGACAGAAAAACAAAAAGATTTGTTTTGAAAAGCTCCTTTCACAAGTCCAAACTTTTAACATTCAGCCTTGAGCATATTTAGGAAATCTGCTGGAGAAGCGACTGTCAACTAAAGAATGATCAATTATTTACCCCACACTGGCTAAATTGATTTACCTTTGATCCACTCTACTTTGTCTCAGTCAATGATAATTTCCTCATTGAGTTTTAAAAGGGGGCGCCGCTAAAGGACAACAGCGCATTAGCATTGCTGGGGCATGCTCCTCTTGCACTCCTTTGCTTTGAAACCTCCTCTGCACAGTCACAGCGAGGACTGTAAATGCTATGCAAAGTTTTCTGAGCCTCAGGGCTGCGCTCTTACCTAGTTTGACCTCAGCGTTCTCTGTTAGCAGCACATTCTGGCCTTTGATGTCCCTGTGGATGACTTTGTGATGGTGGAGATGAGTGAGCCCCTGGCAGAGAGACAAACATGAATTAAGTGAAATAGTAGTAGAATGATAGATAGTAGAATGGCAGAATCCTTCATTCACAAGTTAGGCTGTGAATGAGTACCATCAATTAACTATAAATAGGTTTCACATTTAGTTTTACATTTAAAACCTAACAAGCATTGTGTGCGCGTGTGTGTGAATTTCTTCTTCATGTTCGTTTGTCTTTATTTAAAATAAATGTCACTTGGTTTGATATTGTGTCTAATGCAATGACATTCATGCATTAAGTATGCCTTAAAAGAATAGTTGACAGAAAAACTTTTGACAGAAAATCTTTACTATTATTTTCAGATCCTCTCAAGTAGTTTCAAACCGGCATCATGTTATTTTTTACTGTAGAGCACAAAATGATTCATGCTCTATCTATGAAGTCTTTTGAATGCATACCATATACACTGCCTTTACCATTCAAAAGTTTGGGGTCTTTTGAGTGTATTTGATTACAGCGCTGAAATACACTTTGAACACAGCAGATGAAATGCATGGTTCTATCATTATATACAATAGAAATTAAATTATACAAAAAAATGTGTTTCACAGAAAAAAAATTCAGGTTTGGATTATTCCTCTATTTTGTTCGGTGAAATTCAAACTATCCATATAACACTTTTTAGGTCAGTAAGGTTTTTTTTTTCTAGACAAAAGTGGTGATCTATGGTCATTAGCTGGTCTATGTGGTTGACCAGGTGTGATATCAGCCAGTGGACCTGGTAAACTGCCTTAGCCAAGTTGGTTTGGACTGGTAAACCACCTAAAACAGTAAGCATGTTCCCAATGCTGGTTTGAAGCTGATTTTCCCAGCAGGGAAGACAGTGAATATAGCACAGTGACTTGAGCTTTTACCCTGAGGATCTCTCTGCAAATGTAGGCGGTCCAGTCTTCCCTCAGCGAGTTGCCCTTGGTGTTCTTGATCAGGTCGGTCACTGAGCCCGCACCACAGAACTCCATCACCAGCTGTAGAAGAGACAACAAGTCACTTCCTACAAATCAAAAGTTTTTATATCTTTCACACAGTCCCTTAAAGACCATTAAATTGAAATGAGAGACGTATGGCTTTTAGTCTATTTCTGATTGCTTTGAGGTCATATACTGTATACTCCACAAAAAAAGAAACATCCTCCCACTTTTTTCCAGCAAATTTCTTACAGTGTGTAAATATTTGTATGAACAAAAAGATTCAACAAATGAGACCTAAATGGAAAAAAAATCCCAAATCTGACAAACAGAAACAGAATGAGTGCCTGAACAGAGCGAGGGTCGACAGTCTCAAGTCAGTATCTGGTGTGGCCAGACAAGTCCTACAGTGCATTTCATCTTCATCTTTTCCAGTTTTGCTGTGAGATGTTTCTTCACTCTTCCACAAAGGCACTTGCAAGGTCTCAAAGTCTGAGAGGACATATAGTTACAAGTGGTTCGTTTCAGCTGTCCTTCCTGTCTCCCTTGTAGTGTCTTAGACTTAGACGTCTTACATTACGGACATTGCAGTGTATTGCTCCGTTCACATCTGCAGTCCTCATGCCTCCTTGCAGCAGGACTATAGCATGTTAACCCCCTGGGGTCGGACAGCTTTTTTTCTTATCAGTGCAAAAGAGACTCAACATACTCTGTTGATTTTGATCTTACATAAGTGTTGTACATCATTAGATCCTGTTAAGTGTCTTTTTTGTGGATACTCACAATAAAAACAAAGTGTTGTGCTTTTCGCCAAATAAAGAAAAATAAATATGATCTGATGCGAGTTCTGCATTCTCTTTGTCAGTGAAGTCCATTCTGAAACGCGTCCGAAAATGAACTGTATCTCAGCGAATACTCAAGTCACGCAGCTTGAAGCTTGAATTCTCTTCTTTTAAATGAAGTAATTTATATAAAAACAAATATTCTCAGTTTATGTTATCTGTATGAAAAGAGAGAGATGTCAGTCGTTTTCTTTTCAGCTCATTATAGCTCATTAAGTGCTAATGTGACCACGCCCACGGAGAGCGCGCGCTATTCAAAACGCAAATGATCTGAGGCAAGCCATGCAAACATGCCAACACCCACATCAGCTATACTATCTAATAATCCTGGAAACGTCTGTGTGTGAATGAATGGCACAGACGCACGCTGGCGTTTACTACAGCTGTACAGCGCGCATCTGTGCTGTTCATTTACACTCCCACCACCTACATTAGTAAACATGTTATTTTTACATGAACACATCTGCTAATTTAGCTTTGACCAAACAATATTGCTATAGCCTACTGAGATGAGTAAAAATAGACTGAAATATGTTGAAATAAAATGTCTTTGTATAAGCAACAAACTGCAAATTAACATTTATATGCGAATATATCATAAACACGATATGTTAGACTAAATATGAATGTTTAGACAAGATTTCGTTGATTAGTTTTGGATAGATTATAAAGTTTTTACTGTCACTGGACGTTAGTTCTTAACGTCACTGGACGTTAAATGCGGTGCGTTACCATGGGCGTCAGTTTGGTTTGAAATGTGCTGGGGACAGAGACACATTCAGAAGTGCTTTTTCAGTAGTGCTGGGTACAAACTTGTCAAACTGTGCAGCCTCTCTGCTCAATCCGTAAATAAATCCATTGATCCGCAAATGTTGTTTGAGTTCTTAAATGGTCTAGCGGTAGATCTTTTTGCCAGAGGTTACGGGTTCTAATCCGCACTCGCATAGTTTTTTTTTTTTCTCTCATCAAAACTGAATGTTCATCAGTGGTTACAGTCTATATCAAGCAGGGACCCGTTTGTGTGCATTTTATTTTGTGATTTTACCGGAATGAATAGAGGGTCTCAGCAACACAATAGATTGAAGAGCGTGTCCGAGTGAAGACTGCGCGAGCCACAAGAGAACAACTGTATCCATGACACTGATAGCAGCGGCAACGAGCGCTCAGCTTGAGTTCAAAACCAACACATTTTAGCACTAGATCTCTTATTTAATAGCGAAACTAAATGAATGCTCTGCTAGTAAACTGGAGATGTTTTATTTATTTGTATTATCTTATCTTACAAAGATAATACTTGAAGTGCAGGATAAACCTCTTGCTGTCTGTCGACATGCAATAAATATAGAAAGTTATGTACAAACACCTGTCTGTTCTACTCATTTCAACTGACTTGTGAATACTGCTCAAAATAGCAGACATAGCATTTTTTTTAACGGTAACGCAAATAGTTACTTTCCCTGGTAACGAGTTACTTTTATTACAGAGTAATTCAGTTACTAACTCAGTTACTTTTTGGAACAAGTAGTGAGTAACTATAACTAATTACTTTTTTTAAATAACGTTCCCCACACTGATAAAATAGTTACTTTTTGGAACAAGTAGTGAGTAACTATAACTAATTACTTTTTTTAAATAACGTTCCCACACTGATAAAATGTATACTTTTTACAAAGAAAGATTACACTTGAAATAGTATTAAAAATTGCAATTGTTGTTGTAATTGTAACCTTTTTTTTATTGTGTTTTATTAGTGACAAATTTGGGTATAGGATACATATTCCAAAACTTTCTGAAAATACAGTATGAGAATAAACTGCACAATTACTAGAAATATTTACCTCAGATATTATACAATTTGCATGCATACAAAATTTGTGGGAAAAGACATTTCACGTTATATATATATATATATATATATATATATATATATATATATATATATATATATATATATATATATATATATATATATATATATATATATATATATTCTAATAAGAATTGGTTCAAAGTTAGAGTTGGAAACATCTTGAAAAAAAATGTCTTTTTTCCACTGGGTACCACAAGAAAGAATGTGAGGACAGAAGATATATATATATTTTTGTCCTCGCATTCTTTGGTACCCCTGCGACAGACCTGTGTGAAAGGCTCATTATGCGGCTCATTATGCAGGTCATTGTCTTCTCAGGTGTGAATCAGATTGTTCACGATCATTCTCACCCATGTCAAAACATCAAGGACCCCATAAACACCTTAGACCCCAGAAGGTTAACACAGGTGATCAGGACCCTGGTCATATTTCTCCTGGTGTTTAACATTGTTTAAACACTTTACAATAGAGATCTGTAAAGTGTACTAAAATTTTACAAAATTATCTGCACTGCTACAATTCACTTTTAGAAGTTTAAACTATTAAAATGCACAAGTCTCTTCTGGGAGAAAGAGAAAAAAATATTGGTCAATGGTCACTCAT